CCATGATATGGAAAAAACAAAAGATGAATCTTTGTTGTACTCTGTGCTTATTTTTTGGGTAATTGAATTAATTACAAACTAATTAAACATAAGAGAAACGTTATTCATAGATAGATTTTCATCAGTATAAGTCTGGGCACAGATTTATAATGTTACAAAATATTTATATTTTGAATAAATGCTATTTTTGAATAAATCATAGTTGCCACAAAAATATTTAGCAGTTTTAACTGTTTTCAAAATTGCTAAAAAAATATTACACTAATATTAATTATACTTTTAATTATATTCTAATACTAAATCAGCATATTAGAATGATTTCTGAAGGATCGTGTGACACTGAAGACTGGAGTAATGATGAATTTCAGCTTTGACATCACAGGATTTATAGTATATATTAAAACAGAAAACACATCGACCCCGAACTTTTGAACGGTTGTGTATATAGGTTTTATTATTATTATTTCAGTGGAATTAATGTTTTTAAATGAAATATCTTGCTGTAGTATAGAAATAATTCAGTTGCTGAAACAGAGATCCACACCCATTTATTTCTTACATAGGGTCATTTTGGCCTGTGGTTCACATCCATTTTCCTTCCCAATGACTTGAATATTTGTCTGAAAATACTTTCTAGGAGCTAGGACATCAAGGAAAGGGGAAAGACTTTATAAGTATTGGTTTACAAAATGGACATCTTGAGTTTAGGTGAGTCAATGAGAACATTTGCACACCAACAAACCACATGGGTTAATGGGTTGAGTCTAATATGATATGATGACAGTATCATTACCTGATGTTTGATCTGATAAAAAAAGAAAACAAAAACACAAGACTTTTGTTAATGGGGTTCTTAGCTGCTACAACTAAGTTTCAGTTGCTTACTGATCTAGATCAGTCCTTTTTTAGCTGGTCATGCCGTGCCCTTGTGTCTCTGATAGTTACCAGCTGGGCAGCGGAGAGGCTCAGATTCTCTCCAGAAAGCCTGTCAATGATGGAAAGTGGCACATGATCACTGCTGTTCGGTAATGCTCCTTACCGCTCCAAACCATAATAGAAACTATAAAAGGTTATAAGAAAGATAGCGTGAGTGTTCTTTCCGTGTCTTGAACAGAACGGGTAAGCAGGGCTACCTCCAGATCGATGGAGGATCTGTCCAACGTGGACAATCACAAGGCAAAAGCATCATGGTGAACACCAAAGGCAACATATACTTGGGTAAGTATGATGTAACAATTGTATTTGTTTCCTTGTAGCCTGCTGAGCAGAGTAATGTGATGAAAATATGTGCATTTTTTTTTTTGTCTGTTAAGGTCCACAATGTTAAGGTCCACAATAGAGTACACCCATGTAATTCTGGAAAAAAAAAACAAAACAAAAAAACATGTAGTAATATATATATATATTCCACAAGAAATTATATAAATACACTACCATTGGTAAAGTTTTTTTTTAAGAAATTCATATTTGTATTCTGCGAAGTTCCATTAAATTGTTCAAATGTGAGAATAAAGATATTTAATAATGTAACAAAAGATTTCCATTTCAAAATAAATACATTCTGTTAATCAAAGAACCCTGAAAAAAAGCATTTCCACAAAAAAATATTAAGCAGCAAACACTGTTTTTAATAGTAAGAATTGTTTCATGAGGATGATTTCTGAAAGGTCATGTGACACTGAAGACTGGAGGAATGATGCTGAAAATTCAGCTTTGTCATTAGTTACAAGGATACATTACATTTAAAAATAAACCAGGTATTGTTGAGATTGTAATAATATTTCACAATATTACTGTTTTTGATCAAATAAATGCAGCCTTTGTGACATAAAAACATAAAAAATCTCACTATCCTTAAACTTTTAAACGGTAGTGTACCTATTTTTTTTTTGTAGTTTAAAGGATAACAATTATTAAAACTTTTTTTAACTATGCTCTCTGTAGAAGACATTAGGATCAATTACAAAAATGAAGTCAAGAAACTACTCTAAAGGCAAAAATTATATTTTTCAATCACAAACTAGCTACTTAAATTACTTTTTGACTTATTGTCAAAAATGTAATTTAACAGTTTTTTTATATGAGACTTCCGCCAAATATACAGGAACCGAAATTTGACAACAGTTTCTTACCTATATTATGAAATTACAGAATCTGTTTATATAATATTTACTTCCAGATTTATTCACACAACAACCACGTCTCAATTTTTATAATACTTTTGGGGGAGCTTGTCTCTTATGTCTCACCAATATGTGAAAACATGCCTTACGTTCTGATGCCCCCTACAGATGACATATAGAAATGTCTTTTCTTGTAAAAGAAAGTCATAAACTTTTGAATCTGAAGTAAGATTATTTGTATTTGGGCTGTAGGTGGGGCTCCAGACATGAAAGCATTGACCGGTGGGAAGTATTCCTCAGGTATCACAGGCTGCGTGAAGAACATCTCTCTGATGAACGCTCGACCGGGAGAACAGCCAGCGCGACCCATCGACCTGCAGGTCCACGCAGAGGAGGGCATCAACGTGGAGCGCTGCTTAACATAGACGCAGTGCTAAAACAATACCAGAGACTACAGAAAAACAACCCACATTCACATTCACACCGAGAAACTTGCATTTCTCGGATGCTTACAGGACAAACTACAGTCACACTTTAAGAGACACACTCTGATACGTGTTTCTTGGTGCCTCACCGCAACCAAAAACAAAAAAACACATGAATGGATTCTTAAACCAAAAAAAGAGAGAAAGAAAAATGTATGATATTAACAAAGTCTTCAATTTTTCCCGTGTTTTATGCTCAATGAAGGACTTATTAACACAGAAGCTCAGTTTACATACTCCGAACAGTAGCTTTTTAGCCATGAGAAAAAGACGACAAAAGGTTTTAAAGAATAAACATGATGAGCCTTCTATGGTGGGTCAGATCCTATGGAATCGGAGATGTTTTTACAGCACTGAATTTTTATTTATAAGCATATTAATCTATATATATATATTATATTTGTGGAGGGAAATGCAAGCTAACAATAACCTGCTCATTTGTTTTCCTAGCAGTGATTCTAGGCTCTAATATTGCGTGTCTGAGGTTTAGTGCCCGAGCTGTGTTAATACTTGAAGACTCCGTTGCCTTCTTTTACTCTGTATTAGAGCCGGTGGGGGCGAGCATGCTCAGTTAGATACAATGAGGAACCGGTCTCTGTGAGGTCACAGCACAGAAGACATCATGATGCATCTCAGGTGAAGATTGTTGCTAAAAAATACAAATTGGGAGATCATACATGGTGTATATATTTCACATGATATAGCTTCCATGTTTAGTAACATTGTTATGTCTGTCTGGTAATAAATGAAAAAAAAAACATGGTGCTAAATTCAGACAAGACAAAGGCAACAAAACAAGCACATAACCAACATTTTTTTGGTATCACGTAATATTACTTCTCTGAGTGGGTCTCGTTTGTTGTGAGTAATAAAAGCCACAGCTTTACGATAAAATAAAATACTGTTTACGGATTACAATCCCTCAAGCCAAAGTATTGAGACTGAGTAAATGTTGACACGAGATCTCTAAATAAAAAATAATAATAACAGGACTAAAATGGTTACAAATGATCTAAAATGTTACAGAAAATCACTTTGCAGCAGTTTAAATGTGTGTCTTTTTCAGTCTTCTCTATTTCTCACAGTTTTGCTGTTAACAACCTCACTAACTATTATTTTTCATGATAGATTTGTAAAAAGGTTTTTGGTCTCTTCTGCCATCACATTCATATTCGGTATGAGTCTTACACAATGTGCATTGAACAAAGGAGGAAATGTGTATGTCATCTTCCAGATCGTCTGGAGGGTTAATGGAGAAATGCTACATCTAACGCGTACCGTTCAGGTTCATTATCTCAATCAGAGTGTACAGGAAGTGATTCTTTCTGGCTGCTCTCATTGCATTGTGAAAACAGAGTTAGGAGGCAGAATGGAAGGTCTACAGATGAAATACTGCCTAGTGAAACCCCTCTTTTATTAGTGCTGTGACTTGGAGCTCTAATGAGCATGCTCGCCCACATGGGCTAGACAGGGGTCAAAGGTCACCTAGGCCCTGTGTGTCTTTTTCACCATTTTATATGATTAAGGCTTGTTTGTTCATTTTCTTTAAACAAAAAAAAAGAGTATTACTGCTTAATTAAAGTTGCTTCACTTTTATTATTATTATTTGATTCTGTCTTTTGTCATCACTGATTTCTGAGCCTAAAATGGCTTTAAAGCATGATCACACAATCTGGTGTTTTTTTCTTTTGCTAATTTGCAATGCCTACTGTGCACCACTCTAATGTGTGCTGTTGTGTTTGAATTTTGATATTGAAATCCGATAGGAAATCAAGATTGCAGAGGTAAGGGGTATATAATAATTGTCCCCAATACACATGACTGTTTAGTGTTTGGCAGGCTGGAACCAAAAGTGGTTTTTTGTGTCAGTTCAACTCTTATGACTGTAGGAATTTTTTGAAAGATGAGTAAAAAATTCTAATCCAAACATCTCTCTGATGTTATTTATTGAGGTTCATGTTCTCACTGTTCTTACTAACATTGTAATGGATTAAATGAAACCTGCACTCTACACAAGTCCCTCTAACTTAAAAGTCCTCTATTAAGCTCATTTACAGCCTCATAATTTAGTTTCTGGGGGTCTACTAATAGCTGCTTTACATGATTTAATTGTTTGAAACAAAAATTACAGAACCTGTTTTCAATCTGAATGCTGTGTTTTAGTTATGATTTCTTTAAAACCCGCCTTCCGAAAAGTGCTTTAAGACAAACCATGTGCAAAGACACGGTTTGAAATCGCTGGTGTTTCTGACGTCACAAACTACCTTGTAGGCTACCCAATCACGTCAACCATGTGATCATGATTAGTTTCCATGGACACTAATCATCATCATCACAGATGTTTGTAATTTAGTTCATCACCTTGTGTATTTGAGTTCCTCACGTTCACTCAATGTTTGTCCGGTCTGTTTGTAAGTATGTATGCTATTACCAGTTGGATGAGTATTAATAGTGCTACATTTGAACTTTATTCCTTAGGCCTATAATCTTCTGTCTGACTACACCTTGTTAACTTTATTATTATTATTGTTATAATTATGCCATTCCACACACTGAAATGATTTGTCTTTCTTTAGCTTTGTAAGTTGTCCTGATAGATTCCCTACTGAAAAGTCATAAGAATGAGCAGCAAGGTATGCCACTCCTTTTGCACTTACATTATTTTATTCAGTATTATTCAGTCAATATTATTATTTTTCTTTTCCAGGTATTTGCAATCTGGGTGCTTCTGGTTACAAGTAAGTTTGATTTATGAAGGAAGATATTGGTAAAACCAATTAACCAATTAAATGTGTTACTGCTGTAAGGGAAAGTAAAAAACAAAATATCTCTCCTTACAGGTACAATTATCACACTCTCCAATCAGAGTAGGTGTCATTTTCCTATTTAAAAAAATAAAATCCTATCCTAATGACATCCTTAAAGTCTAACCATGGTCAACAAATGTTTCTGTTTGGTATTTATCAGGTTGTATAAGCAAGTGGTTTGACCGTGACAACCCAGGTGGAAATGGAGATTATGAGCTGTTGGCTGACCTTCTCAGTATGTTTCCTGGAGAAATATGCCCGAATCCAATCGACATAGAGGCCCAGACGACCTCCGGTCAACCAGCATCTCAAACAGGAAACGTCTTTCAAGTGTGAGGTTTAATTCAAGAAACAAATGATCTTACCTGAAGCTTTACTATATGTTGAGATTTTTCTGTGTCTTTCTGAAGATACAATCCAACAACTGGGTTTTCTTGTGTAAACGCAAACCAAGGAGGCGGGGTTTGTGCCGATTATAAGGTGCGCTTCACCTGCCCAGAGGAATGGTGTTCAAGTAAGTGACATTAACAAACACAAACGGGCACTGAGCTGTTCATTTTTATAATAGAATTCAATGATATCTTTTTTGGGGAATGAATGATATCTACTCAACTGGTCATTCTCTATTAGAATGTAGGACACCCTGGTTTGACCGAGATAATCCCGGAGGAGTGGGAGACTATGAAACGCTGTCGTTAACCCTGGTAACATACCCACACCAGGCCTGTGCTCAGCCCATCGCCATTGAGGTCACAACCATTAGTGGGACCCCAGTACTGCCGACAGGAAATAGTTTTCAAGTGTACGACCAACAATATCATTCTTTACTAAAATTCTCTCAGATTCGAGCGCTTGCTTGTAGGATGTTGCATTTTCTGAAACACTTGCTCTTGAATATACAGTTGCCCAATTATATTTCTATGGAATGGAAAGGGCAGCATAGCTGCTGCCAAGTATCTTAAACTTGATTTATAGAAACTGCATGTTAAATTGGATATGCAAGAGTGAGCGCTTCAGAAAAAGCACAGTCCTAGAAGCAAGTCTTTCCATGTTAACATATGCATTTTGTTTTCGCAGATATGATCCGACAGAGGGATTTGCTTGTGTGAATGCACAACAGACTGGAGGGTGTCAAGACTACAGGGTCCGTTTCACATGTCTAAAGAGTTTTTGTCTTCCAAGTATGTATCTTAACTTCATCTAATATAATTTTATATATACATGTATATGGCCTCTGTAATATACATGCACAACCCCAAATCCAGAAAAGTTGGTACATCTTGTAAAAATGCAATATCATTCAGTTGTTCAGAGATAACATGTACTTTTTTCAGTAAAAAAATCTAATTCCTTTTTTTTTTTTTTTTTTTTATTGCAATTTGCATTGTGTCCCAACTCCTCTGGATTTGTGTGTGTATCTGTACACACATTTGTACATAATTTACTATAACTATTCTCTGTTCATCAGAGTGTGTAACCAGGTGGTTTGATTCCGACAATCCTAATACAAATGGAGGGGATTCTGAACTCTTGACTACACTTCTCAGTTTGAATCCTGGGTACATTTGTCCGAATCCACTCGGAATAGAGGCTCAAACGATCTCTGGCCTGCCAGCATCTCAAACAGGAAATGTTTTTCAAGTGTGAGTCTATCAAAGGATCTGAAATGACACTGTGTGTTAATGTTTTTGTTCTAAAGCTCTTTTGTATTTTCTGAAGATTTAATCCGATAACTGGGTTTTCTTGTGTAAACGCAAACCAAGGAGGAGGGCTTTGTGCCGATTATAAGGTGCGCTTCACCTGCCCAGAGCAATGGTGTTCAAGTAAGTGACCTGAAAGTTCACAATAGAATTCAATGAAGTGATTTTATTGATCACGAATGAAAACTGGTCATCCTCTGTTAGAATGTAGGACACCCTGGTTTGACCGAGATAATCCCGGAGGAGTGGGAGACTTTGAGACACTGTCGTTAACCCTGACAACATACCCACTACAGGCCTGTGCTCAGCCCATCGCCATTGAGGTCGCAACCATTAGTGGGACCCCAGTACTGCCTGGAAGCAACTTTCAAGTGTAAGTTTAACTGTATAATTTTATAATGAAAATATTATAGTAATTTTGTAATGATTGATGGGCATCTACTTTGATTCTGCAGATATGATCCACTACAGGGCTTTGAGTGTGTGAATGTGCCGCTGAGTGGATGGAACTGTCAGGACTACAAGGTCCGCTACACGTGTCCGCAAAGTTTCTGCAATATCTCCGTCCTCCCAAGCCTCCCATTAGATGTCACCAACCTTACAAGTTTAGGCTAATATTTGTCAAACTAAGTTTTTAATTTAGATTAGAAACAAAATAAACATTTGATTGCATTGCCATTTCTCGCCTCGGTTCATATCATTGGACCATTGAAGTGCTAAGTAAATAAGAGGAAATTGATTATTTTGATTCAAGACTCTTTCTATGATGCATGCATATCAGAAAACATGTGTGCACACCTGTATGTGTAATAGTTAAATGTTTCTAATAGGCCTCTAGTTAAATGAACAAGTCAACTATGCTGCTTTTTCCTCATGTCCTGAATAACAGCAAGTGTGAAAGTTAGCTGATCATGAAGTTCAGACACCAAGTTGTTAATTTTCTTTAAACGTAATGTAACTAGGCAAAAAGAGACCTAGGTGGTAGAAAATATAAGTTTGTGATTTAGTATATGTTGTAAACCTTCTGGGACCCAGGAATAGACTTTTGTCCACTATAGAGGACATTTTATTGAATCTACACACTAATCAGGGGAGAGAAACCCCTCTTTTATTAGTGCTGTGACTTTGAGCTCTAATGAGCATGCTAGCCCACAGGGGCCAGACAGGGGTCAAAGGTCACCTAGGCCCTGTGTGTCTTTCACCATTTTATATGATTAAGGCTTGTTTGTTCATTTTCTTTAAACAAAAAGAGTATTACTGCTTAAAGTTGCTTCACTTTTATTATTATTTGGTTCTGTCTTTTGTCGTCACTGATTTCTGAGCCTAAAATGGCTTTAAAGCATGATCACACAATCTGGTGTTTTTTCTATTGCTAATTTGCAATGCCTACTGTGCACCACTCTAATGTGTGCTGTTGTGTTTGAATTTTGATGTTGAAATCCGATAGGAAATCAAGATTGCAGAGGTAAGGGGTATATAATAATTGTCCCCAATACACATGACTGTTTAGTGTTTGGCAGGCTGGAACCAAAAACCTCTTTAAAAAGTTTTTTTTGTTTTTTTTTTTGTGTCAGTTCAACTCTTATGATTCTATGAGTTTTTTGAAAGATGAGTAAAAAATTCTAATCCAAACATCTCTCTGATGTTATTTATTGAGGTTCATGTTCTCACTGTTCTTACTAACATTGTAATGCATTAAATGAAACCTGCACTCTACACAAGTCCCTCTAACTTAAAAGTCCTCTATTAAGCTCATTTACAGCCTCATAATTTAGTTTCTGGGGGTCTACTAATAGCTGCTTTACATGATTTAATTGTTTGAAACAAAAATTACAGAACCTGTTTTCAATCTGAATGCTGTGTTTTAGTTATGATTTCTTTAAAACCCGCCTTCCGAAAAGTGCTTTAAGACAAACCATGTGCAAAGACACGGTTTGAAATCGCTGGTGTTTCTGACGTCACAAACTACCTTGTAGGCTACCCAATCACGTCAACCATGTGATCATGATTAGTTTCCATGGACACTAATCATCATCATCACAGATGTTTGTAATTTAGTTCATCACCTTGTGTATTTGAGTTCCTCACGTTCACTCAATGTTTGTCCGGTCTGTTTGTAAGTATGTATGCTATTACCAGTTGGATGAGTATTAATAGTGCTACATTTGAACTTTATTCCTTAGGCCTATAATCTTCTGTCTGACTACACCTTGTTAACTTTATTATTATTGTTATAATTATGCCATTCCACACACTGAAATGATTTGTCTTTCTTTAGCTTTGTAAGTTGTCCTGATAGATTCCCTACTGAAAAGTCATAAGAATGAGCAGCAAGGTATGCCACTCCTTTTGCACTTGCATTATTTTATTCAGTATTATTCAGTCAATATTATTATAATTTTTCTTTTCCAGGTATTTGAAATCTGGGTGCTTCTGGTTACAAGTAAGTTTGATTTATGAAGGAAGATATTGGTAAAACCAATTAACCAATTAAATGTGTTGCTGCTGTAAGGGAAAGTAAAAAACAAAATATCTCTCCTTACAGGTACAATTATCACACTCTCCAATCAGAGTAGGTGTTATTTTCCTATTTAAAAAAATAAAATCCTATCCTAATGACATCCTTAAAGTCTAACCATGGTCAACAAATGTTTCTGTTTGGTATTTATCAGGTTGTATAAGCAAGTGGTTTGACCGTGACAACCCAGGTGGAAATGGAGATTATGAGCTGTTGGCTGACCTTCTCAGTATGTTTCCTGGAGAAATATGCCCGAATCCAATCGACATAGAGGCCCAGACGACCTCCGGTCAACCAGCATCTCAAACAGGAAACGTCTTTCAAGTGTGAGGTTTAATTCAAGAAACAAATGATCTTACCTGAAGCTTTACTATATGTTGAGATTTTTCTGTGTCTTTCTGAAGATACAATCCAACAACTGGGTTTTCTTGTGTAAACGCAAACCAAGGAGGAGGGGTTTGTGCCGATTATAAGGTGCGCTTCACCTGCCCAGAGGAATGGTGTTCAAGTAAGTGACATTAACAAACACAAACGGGCACTGAGCTGTTCATTTTTATAATAGAATTCAATGATATCTTTTTTGGGGAATGAATGATATCTACTCAACTGGTCATCCTCTGTTAGAATGTAGGACACCCTGGTTTGACCGAGATAATCCCGGAGGAGTGGGAGACTATGAAACGCTGTCGTTAACCCTGGTAACATACCCACACCAGGCCTGTGCTCAGCCCATCGCCATTGAGGTCACAACCATTAGTGGGACCCCAGTACTGCCGACAGGAAATAGTTTTCAAGTGTACGACCAACAATATCATTATCTTTACTAAAATTCTCTCAGATTCGAGCGCTTGCTTGTAGGATGTTGCATTTTCTGAAACACTTGCTCTTGAATATACAGTTGCCCAATTATATTTCTATGGAATGGAAAGGGCAGCATAGCTGCTGCCAAGTATCTTAAACTTGATTTATAGAAACTGCATGTTAAATTGGATATGCAAGAGTGAGCGCTTCAGAAAAAGCACAGTCCTAGAAGCAAGTCTTTCCATGTTAACATATGCATGTTTTCGCAGATATGATCCGACAGAGGGATTTGCTTGTGTGAATGCACAACAGACTGGAGGGTGTCAAGACTACAGGGTCCGTTTCACATGTCTAAAGAGTTTTTGTCTTCCAAGTATGTATCTTAACTTCATCTAATATAATTTTATATATACATGTATATGGCCTCTGTAATATACATGCACAACCCCAAATCCAGAAAAGTTGGTACATCTTGTAAAAATGCAATATCATTCAGTTGTTCAGAGATAACATGTACTTTTTTCAGTAAAAAAATCTAATTCCTTTTTTTTTTTTATTGCAATTTGCATTGTGTCCCAACTCCTCTGGATTTGTGTGTGTATCTGTACACACATTTGTACATATTTACTATAACTATTGTCTGTTCATCAGAGTGTGTAACCAGGTGGTTTGATTCCGACAATCCTAATACAAATGGAGGGGATTCTGAACTCTTGACTACACTTCTCAGTTTGTATCCTGGGTACATTTGTCCGAATCCACTCGGAATAGAGGCTCAAACGATCTCTGGCCTGCCAGCATCTCAAACAGGAAATGTTTTTCAAGTGTGAGTCTATCAAAGGATCTGAAATGACACTGTGTTAATGTTTTTGTTCTAAAGCTCTTTTGTATTTTCTGAAGATTTAATCCGACAACTGGGTTTTCTTGTGTAAACGCAAACCAAGGAGGAGGGGTTTGTGCCGATTATAAGGTGCGCTTCACCTGCCCAGAGGAATGGTGTTCAAGTAAGTGACCTTAACACACAATAGAATTCAATGAAGTGATATTTTATTGATCACGAATGAAAACTGGTCATCCTCTGTTAGAATGTAGGACACCCTGGTTTGACCGAGATAATCCCGGAGGAGTGGGAGACTTTGAGACACTGTCGTTAACCCTGACAACATACCCACTACAGGCCTGTGCTCAGCCCATCGCCATTGAGGTCGCAACCGTTAGTGGGACCCCAGTACTGCCTGGAAGCAACTTTCAAGTGTAAGTTTAACTGTATAATTTTATAATAAAATAATATAATAATTTTGTAATGATTGATAGGCATCTACTTTGATTCTGCAGATATGATCCACTACAGGGCTTTGAGTGTGTGAATGTGCCGCTGAGTGGATGGAACTGTCAGGACTACAAGGTCCGCTACACGTGTCCGCAAAGTTTCTGCAATATCGCCGTCCTCCCAAGCCTCCCATTAGATGTCACCAACCTTACAAGTTTAGGCTAATATTTGTCAAACTAAGTTTTTAATTTAGATTAGAAACTAAATAAACATTTGATTGCATTGCCATTTCTCGCCTCGATTCATATCATTGTACCATTGAAGTGCTAAGTAAATAAGAGGAAATTGATCATTTTGATTCAAGACTCTTTCTATGACCTGTGACTTGGAGCTCTAATGAGCATGCTAGCCCACATGGGCCAGACAGGGGTCAAAGATCACCTAGGCCCTGTGTCTTTTTCACCATTTTATATGATTAAGGCTTGTTTGTTCATTTTCTTTAAACAAAAAAAAGGAGACATCTTACCTGGCATTGGTTTCATGCTTCTGTCTAGCCAGACTTGGTGCCATTGAATACTTCTGTAGAGATCAGGTATGGATGCCCTTCCACTCGATGTTTCAGTAAACCGTGGTTACGATAGTAACCTATTATTTAGTTCAGCTTATCAGGGAACCAGTTTGCATACGTAACCTGAGACATTCCCTTTTGAAGTGGAACTTTGACGCTCTGCCTTCATGTTGACACTACGGAGAACACAACACAACTACGCCATGACTAGGCCAGAGTCAAGAATGGCATGAATGGCATCAATCCCAATTCCTATGTGACTTGAGCAAAAAGTTGCACAGTGGCACTACTCCCTAAAGCTAGTTTGTCCAAATAGCACCATTAACAAGGCTCTTTTACCCCGAGGAAGTCACAAGAGAATTTAGGCCTTACTTAAAACCCCGATAAATAATTTGGTAGATCGGCAAATAAGAGAATGGGACACTACTGCTGACCGCTCATAACTCTATTTTACCAAGCTCATACCCTGACTTATGAAAAGGCACTTTTCAGAGATCCGCTATAGCTAGCAAACTCCAATGCACTATAGTAGTCGACACATGAATGAGGGATGCCTACAGGCGATCTACCTCTACTATCGGCAAACTAGATGCAGGGCCTGAACCACGAAGTGTAGATGGTTGTCTCTCTTCCCTCAAAAAAAGAGCCATGTGAGTTCACATTGAACCTTTTCAGCAAGCAATGACAAACAATATCTTCACAAGCACACACAGACAAAGCGGCTGATGTGTAACTTGGGCACTATTTTATAGTCACAGACTGCTGCCTGCCAATGAATATACTTTAGAAGACACCGTTTATGCTGATGGCCTTCCCCATAGCATCAACACCAAGATGCAGCATGCGTACCGGTGAGTATCAGTTCGGAAGGCTGCCTGACTGAGGTATAATACTGCTGTAGTTACAGTTCATTATGACGTCAATTGTTTTATCAGTTCGAGCTGGAGTCTGACAGTTAAGAAGAGCAAGCTGATCGACCCAAAACAACTTCCCAAACATGACTTGTTGTGGATGTTTGATAGTGGTAATTCACATTATTTTGTTCACCTTATGTAGTAATGTCGAAGTAAGCTCTTATCTTACTTTATTACCTGCAGGTCGATAGGACGTTCTTTTTATTACATAAAATGTGGCCATGTGACTTAAAAATGATGTGCATAGATTAATAATTTACAATAATACTGAAATATTCTATACAAATGTTAATTTTGAATTCATGTTGAGTTCAACTTCCTTTGACGTGGACTTTGTGCTTTGTAACTTTGCAGATTGCACAAACAACTATATTACGCATTAAAGTGGTAACATAAAAAAAAGCATACCCTTTAACTATAAACTTAAATATTACAAAGAAGCATCATATTCTGTGTTGTTCTTAATTCTGATTATTTTCCCCTAGCATTAGCTTTAGTTATGGGGTTAGGATTAGGCGATCAGGCCTCCACAAGGATTTTTCATGGCCTGTATACAGTAAGCATAACAGATGTCAAACGGGATTTATCATTATTTACTGTACTAGATATAGGCTAGTGTTACATTAAGCACCAACACTTCAAAAGAATTAAATTTGAAACTAGACTTGCCTGTAATACTGAATATATATAATACTTAATACTGTAATATATATATAAATTACAGCAACACCTCCCCCTTGGCCTTTCAGACGAGGCTCATGTTTTTGACAATAATCTTGGTGGGTGGATCCATTTAAAGTAATGTAATCGTCTAGTTTTAGCTAGTTTTCTGTCAAATACAGCACATCTAGGTTATGATCTGTAATCAGATCATTAACAAAAAGTGCTTTTGAAGAAAGTGATCGGATATTCAGCAACCTGAGCTTTATTATTAGTTTATCTGTGTTATATATAATGCAATGAGGTTAAATTAATAGCTGGAAGCCTCCCTTTTTTTGTAGTTTATTGTGTAAAGGATTACAATTGCTGTATTGTATCTTTTTAGTGCATGTAGCGTGATGAAATGTCACTTTTGACAATCTCACATTCCCTGTTTTAAAGTGAGGAACAAAAGATTAAGTCTTAGACCAAACTATACATTACCCCTGTCCAGGACCCACAGTGTAATTCTTGTATGTGGACAGCTTTTGCTGTGAGATGGGTGAGACAGAGATGGGTGGAGTGCAGGAGATGAATGAAGAGAGGTGAGAAATTAGGTCAGAGCTGACAACAGAGATGCTGCTGCAAGATGGCCGGGGAGGAGCTCACCTGCTTAAAAAGAGAAAGAATTTCAGCAGAGAAAAGGAGAGCACAGATAATACTAACTACTCCTGCGTGAAGTGATACATGATGAAATATTGTGGCATATCACAAGATATAGGCTATTCTCACTACCACAATCACCAAGTAGAACTGGGTAAGTTTATAGCCTACTGAATATATATATATATATATATATATATATATATATATATATATATATATATATATATATATATATATATATATAATTCAATGTGAAAGAATTTATTAAGATTTTCTAAAAGCTAGACCTTTAGCATTCATTATTATGATCATTTGTCATACGTATTCGGTTGTTTATTAATAGATTCGTTTTCATGGACTTTGGTTTTTTATTAGTAACATGTGTTCTTTGTTTGAGTTTCCCGCTACTCCTCAGTTTCTATTGCTGAGGTGGGAAGTCGTGTTAACGACGCGAGGTACGTTCAAATGACGAACAACTGTGATGATGATGATGATGATGATGATGATGATGATGATGATGATGATGATGATGATTAGTGTCCTTATTTCATCATGTGTATTTTAGTTCCTCACTTTCACTCAACGTTTGTCCGGTCTGATTGCGAGTATGTATTACTGGTGGGATGATATTTTTATGTACATTTGAACTTTATTCCTTATAATCTTCTGTCTGACTGCACCTTGTTAACATTATTATTATTGTTATAATTATACCATTCCACACACTGAAATGATTTGTCTTTCTTTTTCTTATTAGATTCCCTACTGAAAAGTCATAAGAATGAGCAGCAAGGTATGCCACTGCATTTTGCACTTGTATTATATTCTATATTATACATCAAATATTATATCATTATTTTTCTTTTCCAGGTATTTGCAACCTGGTTGCTTCTGGCTACAAGTAAGTTTGATTTATGAAGGAAGATATTGGTAAAACCAATTAAATGTGATACTGCTATAAGGGAAATAAAGTCAAAAAAAAAAGAAAATTTCTCTCCTTACAGGTACAATTTTCACTCTCTCCAATCAGAGTAGGTGTCATTTTCCTATTAAAAAAAAATCTGCATAATCTGATATCCTATCATATTGATATCCTGAAAGTCTCTCCATGGTCTACTTTAATTTGTCCTTTTTTATCAAAACAAATTCTTCTGTATTCTATTCTATTCTTCGATTTATCAGGTTGTATAAGCAAGTGGTTTGACCGTGACAACCCAGGTGGAAATGGAGATTATGAGTTGTTGGCTGACCTTCTCAGTATGTTTCCTGGAGAAATATGCCCGAATCCAATCGACATAGAGGCCCAGACGACCTCCGGTCAACCAGCATCTCAAACAGGAAACGTCTTTCAAGTGTGAGGTTTAATTCAAGAAACAAATGATCTTACCTGAAGCTTTACTATATGTTGAGATTTTTCTGTGTCTTTCTGAAGATACAATCCAACAACTGGGTTTTCTTGTGTAAACGCAAACCAAGGAGGAGGGGTTTGTGCCGATTATAAGGTGCGCTTCACCTGCCCAGAGGAATGGTGTTCAAGTAAGTGACATTAACACACAAAAACAGGCACTGAGCTGTTCATTTTTACAATTGAATTCAATGATATCTTTTTTGGGGAATGAATGATATCTACTCAACTGGTCATCCTCTGTTAGAATGTAGGACACCCTGGTTTGACCGAGATAATCCCGGAGGAGTGGGAGACTATGAAACGCTGTCGTTAACCCTGGTAACATACCCACACCAGGCCTGTGCTCAGCCCATCGCCATTGAGGTCACAACCGTTAGTGGGACCCCAGTACCGCCGACTGGAAATAGTTTTCAAGTGTACGACGACCAACAATATCATTATCTATACTAAAGTTCTATCAGATTAGAACAATGACATGGATGTATTTTGAATGTGAGACAAAATGGCTTTATTTCCCACCAAATATTTTTGCACTACTTATGTACTGATACTGAATATCTACTGCAATTCTCTTGATCAGTCTAGTCCCTGTAACTCCGACTGCTTAAGTCTTTAGTGCAGAATTTTAGAGAATGTAAGTTCAGTGGCCTGTATGCACATTTAAATTCAGAGAAATACAGATTTAACACTTGGTCACAGTTGTAGCACTTGCTTGTAGGACTGTGCACTTTCTGAAACACTTGCTCTTAAATATACAGTTGCCCAATTATATTTCTATGGAATGGAAAGGGCAGCATAGCTGCTGCCAAGTATCTTAAACTTGATTTATAGAAACTGCATGTTGAATTGTATTTGCAGGAGAAAGTGCTTCAGAAAAAGCACAGTCCTAGAAGCAAGTCTTTCAATGTTAACAGAGAAGATTTGTTTTTGCAGATATGATCCGACAGAGGGATTTGCTTGTGTGAATGCACAACAGACTGGAGGGTGTCAAGACTACAGGGTCCGTTTCACATGTCCAACGAGTTTTTGTGTTCCAAGTATGTATCTTAACATAATTATATATGTATATGGCCTCTCTGTAATATACATACACACACCCCAAATCCAGAAAAGTTGGGACATCTTGTAAAATGCAATATCATTAAGTTGTTCAGAGAAAACATGTACTTTTGTCAGTAAATTTTTTTTTTTACTGAATTAATTGCAATTTGCATTGTGTCCCAACTCCTCTGGATTTGTGTGTGTATCCGTGCACACATTTGTACATATTTACTACAACTATTCTCTGTTCATCAGAGTGTGTAACCAGGTGGTTTGATTCCGACAATCCTAATACAAATGGAGGGGATTCTGAACTCTTGACTACACTTCTCAGTTTGTATCCTGGGTACATTTGTCCGAATCCACTCGGAATAGAGGCTCAAACGATCTCTGGCCTGCCAGCATCTCAAACAGGAAATGTTTTTCAAGTGTGAGTATCAAAGGGTCTGAAGTGACACTGTCCTAATGTTTTTTTTTGTTCTAAAGCTCTTTTGTATTTTCTGAAGATATAATCCAACAACTGGGTTTTCTTGTGTAAACGCAAACCAAGGAGGAGGGGTTTGTGCCGATTATAAGGTGCGCTTCACCTGCCCAGAGGAATGGTGTTCAAGTAAGTGACATTAACACACAAAAACGGGCACTGAGCTGTTCATTTTTCCAATTGAATTCAATGATATTATCTTTTTTGGGGAATGAATATCTACTCTGGTCATCCTCTATTAGAATGTAGGACACCCTGGTTTGACCGAGATAATCCCGGAGGAGTGGGAGACTATGAAACGCTGTCGTTAACCCTGGTAACATACCCACACCAGGCCTGTGCTCAGCCCATCGCCATTGAGGTCACAACCATTAGTGGGACCCCAGTACTGCCGACTGGAAATAGTTTTCAAGTGTACGACGACGACCAACAATATCATTATCTATAATAAAGTTCTATCAGATTAGAACACTTGCTTGTAGGACCTTGCATTTTCTGAAACACTTGCTCTTGAATACACAGTTGCCCAATTATATTTCTATGGAATGGAAAGGGCAGCATAGCTGCTGCCAAGTATCTTAAACTTGATTTATAGAAACTGCATGTTAAATTGGATATGCAAGAGTGAGCGCTTCAGAAAAAGCACAGTCCTAGAAGCAAGTCTTTCCATGTTAACATATGCATGTTTTCGCAGATATGATCCGACAGAGGGATTTGCTTGTGTGAATGCACAACAGACTGGAGGGTGTCAAGACTACAGGGTCCGTTTCACATGTCCAAAGAGTTTTTGTCTTCCAAGTATGTGTTTTAACTTCATCTAATATAATTTTATATATACATGTATATGGCCTCTGTATATACATACACACAACTCCAAATCCAGAAAAGTTGGTACATCTTGTAAAAATGCAATATCATTAAGTTCAGAGATAACATACTTTTTTCAGTAAAAAAATCTAATTCCTTTTTTTTATTTTTATTTTTTATTGCAATTTGCATTGTGTCCCAACTCCTCTGGATTTGGGTGTGTGTGTATCCGTACATATTTACTACAACTATTCTCTGTTCATCAGAGTGTGTAACCAGGTGGTTTGATTCCGACAATCCTAACACAAATGGAGGGGATTCTGAACTCTTGACTACACTTCTCAGTTTGTATCCTGGGTACATTTGTCCGAATCCACTCGGAATAGAGGCTCAAACGATCTCTGGCCTGCCAGCATCTCAAACAGGAAATGTTTTTCAAGTGTGAGTATCAAAGGGTCTGAAGTGACACTGTCCTAATGTTTTTTTTGTTCTAAAGCTCTTTTGTATTTTCTGAAGATACAATCCAACAACTGGGTTTTCTTGTGTAAACGCAAACCAAGGAGGAGGGGTTTGTGCCGATTATAAGGTGCGCTTCATCTGCCCAGAGGAATGGTGTTCAAGTAAGTGACATTTACACACAATAGAATTCAATGAACTAATATTTTATTGATCATGAATGAAAGCTATCCACTCAACTGGTCATTTTCTATAAGAATGTAGGACACCCTGGTTTGACCGAGATAATCCCGGAGGAGTGGGAGACTTTGAGACACTGTCGTTAACCCTGACAACATACCCACTACAGGCCTGTGCTCAGCCCATCGCCATTGAGGTCACAACCGTTAGTGGGACCCCAGTACTGCCTGGAAGCAACTTTCAAGTGTAAGTTTAACTATATAATTTTATAATAAAATAATATAGTAATTTTGTAATGATTGATAGGCATCTACTTTGATTCTGCAGATATGATCCACTACAGGGCTTTGAGTGTGTGAATGTGCCGCTGAGTGGATGGAACTGTCAGGACTACAAGGTCCGCTACACGTGTCCGCAAAATTTTTGCAAAATCCCTGTCCTTTCAAGCCTCCCATTAGATGTCGAAAACATGACTGCTTTACAAGTTTAGGCTATATCTGTCAAACTGAGTTTTTAATTTAGATTTAGATTGGAAACAAAATAAACATTTGATTGCATTGCCATTTCTCGCCTCAGCGCATATTATTGGACCATTGGTGAAGTGCTAAGAACATTAGAGGAAAATGGTCATTTTGATTCAAGAATCGTTCTATGACCTGCATATCAGAAAACCTGTGCACACTTGTAAATGTGTAATATAGTTAAATGTTTCTAATAAGCCTCAAGTTAAATTAACAAGTCAACTATGCTGCTTTTTCCTCATAAATAACAGCAAGCATGAAAGTTTGTGATTAATATATCATGTTGTAATAACCTTCTGGGGCTCAGGAATAGATTGTAATTGAATTTTAATTTAAATTTTAATTTAATTGAATTTTGTCATGATTCAAAATTTAAGGGAAATGTTATGGAGTTTCTAATCAAAATATGACATTGATTTCAATTTTGAATCAAAACAGGGCATTGATTTCATACATCAGGGTGTTAGGAGGATAATGTAATGAATCCATCAGTGACCGTGCCATAAATACTACTGTAGGTACCTTAATGCACAGTTAAAGGGATAGTTCACCCAATAATGAAAATTATGTCACCATTTACTCACTCTCAAGTTGTTACAAACCTGTATGATTTGAACACAGAAGAAATTTTGAAAAACATGGGTAATCAAACAGATCCCCATTTACTTCCATTATATGGGGAAAAAATACTATGGAAGTCAATGAGGCTTGGGTTACCCATATTCTTCAAAATATCTTTTTTGTTCAGCAGATGAATAAGATCATCCAAGTTTGGAACAACTTTAGGATATAGGCTAAATAATGACATCATTTTTATTTTTGGGTGAACTAGCCCTTTAACTGAAAATAACTTGTTTTGTTTTATTGTAAGGAGAATATAGGACAGCATACAGTGATAAAAAATTAAATTGCATACTTATAAAAAAAATTACAAAATGTCTGTGAATATAACTTGGGTATTATGTGTGCAGGAACACTAAAGTGTCTGCATTGGCTCTTTCCCCCCTCCTCTCTTCTGCAACCTTCTCGCCACTCGACCAGACTAGGTACAGTTGATGCCGAACAACGTGTTTTTATTTATTTTTTTATTTTGATGTGCGTAGAGAAAGTACTAGAACTATTTCGATGTCATTTCCGGTGGAATATTCCAGTAAATCCTGCCTTTAAAAGGCGACGCGCTGAAAATGCGAACTGCGTTGTCTGTGACAGGTGCAGTCTGTTGCCTAACATAAATGTCATCTTCGTCCATTAAAGGCCATAACTGTTTTTGGGGAACCACTGAATGTGAGTAAAATTAAAAATACTGTGTCGTCGATATATAAATCCAGCAAAAGCAGTTATTTGTCGCTCGACTTTGAAGGTAAGTTTGTTCTCACATCGTGACATATTAAGTTTTAAAATAATACATTTTGAGATAAGAGATAGCAGCACTTTATATTGTTGTTCATATACGCAACGTAACAGTATTGCTATATTAAATGCTTAATTTTTTGACTTCATGGAAAATTCTGGATAGGGCAGAACGAGAATAAAAGTATATTCCTTCAGTATATAATATTTAGTACAGTGTGTCGTAACAAAGTAAAATAAATGTAACTTAATGCTGTAACGTAGGTCAACGCAGAAGACCTATTGCAATTGGATACGGATAACGTTACAAGACAATAGCTGTCTGATGTAGAATACGCAGTTGTTTTAGACTACAGCACTGATATCGTGCAGTACCTGTTTATAGCCTATAGAAATAAGATCGCGCCGACATTGCGCATACGCAGCTTTTTCAAATGCAGGAAATGTGTATGTTTTAGTCATAAATGCATCGCATGGGCTACTTAACCTTATTAATAAAGCATCATCATTCAGTTGTGAACTGGCAAGAGTAGTTAACAACTTGTTAGATAACCAGACTTTCCTCTTTAGTAAGGCTGAGACAGTATTCTCCGTATGTAATGTATGGCGTTTTTTTAAATGCAATTTATGTGCAACATACGTGTGGTCCTCCTGAGGCAGGAGTCGAAGTGCGTTTGAATGAATCTCGGGCATGATCTCGGGGCGTGCGGAACTGCGAATACTCCGCATTGCATACCCAAGCCATTCGTGGACTCTCGTATTGGTATTAACACTATAAATTCCCTCTTTAGAGGTGTACCATGAAGCTTACGTGATAGAATTTTGGTAATACGTATGTAACTGTCATCTATTTGCCAAACGATGGTATTAAGCGAATCCACACAACAGCTTTGGCGCCCACGCTCTGTTGTTATGTATCGTCATCATCGTCCCGCGTTCTCATTGGTTTGCTGGCATACGGGTATTTCATGCGCAGGAAACCATAGATATAATAAATACATAGATTCCTATTGGCCGCTGGAGCGTACGTCAACGGCATCGCCATATTGCGTAGGGCAAATTTCTCATACTTCTCATAAGCGAGAATTGAGAAAAAGGCCTGTTTCGTGTGCTGCTTGGGGCTGTACAAATCGCCACACAATTAAAAACAGGCCTCGAGGAATTATCTTTCACAAGCAAGACTGAAAATTTTGTTTCTGGTTGTATTTGGTCATGATATAATTAGTAACGTCCAGAGGAGAAAATTCGCGAAATTTAAAAAATGCTAATTTAAAAATTATTGTGTATATATGTTCACAATAACAATATGTTATTGTGTATATAGGTTTTTCAGTCGACAATTTAGTTGTTTAAAGCTCAAATCTGTGGTTTATTTATAAAGATATTTTTTTTAAAAATTGATCTGACCACTTATTATATTATACCACTTGCAATTATTAATCTATTACAGCTATGCTGTTAAATGATTGTACTATTCATAGTCACTCTTTAACTTATTTTTTATTTTCTATACTGTAATTGATATTTCTTATTCCATTGCTATTATTTTTCCATTATAGTATTATACATAAACTATATGCTATTATCAATATTTGTATTATTATAGTATGTATTTATGATATTATGTCATACTATTCATTGCTATTTTATTTGCCGTATACTGTTTGTTTATTTTATTGACTAAACTATTTACTATTACATCTCACTTTATGTTATTTACTATTTGCCTTGCACTGTAGTTGTAGTACCATTTCATATGTATTACCATAAAGGATCCATCAGTAATCTTTGTTATTGCTAAAATCGTGTCAATCACAGAAAATACTTTTCCACAATAAGAAAACCTTATTTAATTTAATGTAAAAATGAAATTATATCTTCACAATTCTTATCCAAGAATAAAAAGCCAGATAGCCTATCGTTACATGACAAGCCTGAGCTTTGACAATTCCTTAGACAGTCTAACTATAAAAATGCATTTACATGCATTTGATTAGAGTGCAGTCTTGCCCTCTGCAAAATTGCGGACGCGTTGACGTATTGCAGCAACATTCCAAAGCGGCCAATAGAGTGCCGAAGACGACGTCACTTTGTAGGCCAAAACGCGGAAGTGAGTTAGCATTTAGCACTTCCGGTACCCTCGCCCTAAAGTCTATGGGTTTTTGGAATGGGTGTTTGCTAAATCGCCTGAAATGAGGTCTGTGGTTAACAAAGCCTCTAAATATTTTCATGTTTTGATCTATGACATAAACACACCAATTATAACCTCCTTGAGTTTTTTTAAACTTTATTGTGTCTGCTTGTGGTTTTTTAAACTTTATATAGGCTTCAAAATGTATACATTTTGGATTAACTTGTAAAGATTATCTTGATAGACAAAACGTGTTAGGGTCACAACTATTTGAACACAGATCTTATTTTTTTTTTTTTCAAAAGTCTATGGGGAAAATGCATAGCTTTTCGATCGAGGGAACCCATGCGCCGCTACTGGGTGTTCATCTGAGTGGACAAAATACACACCAAAATTTTTTTTACTGAATTTGAGGAGTTATATGGTTACAAAGACCCCCTTAGGAATTAACGGAATATGCGAGGAATGCTTCAAAAAAATTAAATTATACAAGCTTTCTGGAAAAGAAAGGGTATCATTTTAGGGCTTTGTGTCATTTTGACCAACAAGGGAAGGATTTGGTATAGGATGTGCGGGAAGGATGAATGTTAAGTTCATGTTTTAAGTCAGGTCTTTGATCATTTTGTATTTTGTGGATGTTTTATTTGAGATAAACTGCACATGGGTTCTCAGTTCAACTTGCCTTCAGTGGACATTCATTACAGAAAGCTAGACCAACATCCATGAACCCAGCAGTTGCTCCGCTTCGCCTCCATCAAGGTGATTGATCCATAGACGATGAATTTGAGGAATTCTGTGAAATTTCTTGCCAGGTGGACTTTTATGATCTTGCCTTAGAAGATATTTTTCGGCATGGACTAGCCTAAATGACTTAATTAATTACCTAATGCTGGACAATACCACTCACTGGACTGTGGAGTTTGGCCAAGGACAAAGACTGTGCACTTTTACTGAGCGGTTCTTCACTGACTGTGGGAGTTGTGGACACGGGGCCTCTCATTCCCACTTTCTAGTCCCACACTACAACTCCAGAGTCTGTCGGCACATCACGAGTGCCATGCCAGAGTCTCCTCACGTCACAGGCGTTTCGTCATGTCATGGCCGCTACGCCAGAGTTTCCAGACGTCACGGCCATTCTTACACTGCCACATAGACTTCTTCCAGAGGTGGCGACTTCTACAGTTCCTCCAGAGCGGTGACCACCTTTGAACTAAGCCCCATGCTACAGCCACGGAGGCTGTTCCCAAACTCTCTGCCAGCACTGTTATGGCCACGGAGGTCATCCACAAACTAACTGTGCCCCATGCCATGGAGTATGTCCGTGTCTGCTCTGTCACGGCCAGGTGGGCCTTCCCTATCTGTGCTTCGCCATGGCTTTCTGTGTGAGTCTTATGCCCTGCTACGGCAGTTTTCTGTGCAGCTCTGAGCTGCATCCTGGTCTCTAGATCCACCGGCTCTGCCCTGGTCTCTTGCACAGTGTCCAGCCGTCATGGCTACCACGCCAGAGCCTCTCCAGGTCATGGCCAACACACCAGAGTCTCTAGACGTCATGTCTAGAGCCCCCTCACATCATGACTGCTCAGATTTCCCCAGAATTGTTATTGGTGCTGGGCTATAGTACCCAAGCTCCAGTGAACACAGAACTTGGATCTAAATTGATTTTATCAACCATGACTCTGGTGGTTCCTAGTCCTGGGGTCCCAAGTCCGGTGGTCCCTAAGGTCAACCCACAGTACTTCGTAATGGCCACAGCCATCATTGTGTGTGGGCCGCATACAGCTTCTCCAGAGGTGCTAAGCCCCATGGTATGGCCACGGAGGTCGTTCTCGAACTATCTGCCATTCTGCCCATCACGTTAGGGCCATAGAGGCTGTTGCCAAACTTTCTGCCTGCACTGTTACAGCCATGGAGTCTTCTGCCCCTCTGCGGTGGTCTTCTGTGCAACCACCGACTCTGTCCTGGTCTCTTGCACCATCAGTTTTGCCTTGGTGGTCTATGGATCCCGGCCCGCCTCTGCTCCATGATTAGGGTCCGCCACTGCTCCACAGTCCATGGTCTCAGCCACTGCTCCATGGCCCAGCCCCAACACGGTTCCATGATCAAGGCCATGAGACAGGTCCTTTTTCTCTTCACAGGCCTGTTTTGATTGGGTTCATGTGTCAAGTTCTTATTGGTTGATTGTGTTCAGGTGTGTCGTGAGTCATTAGCCTTTGTGTACATACAGTACAGCCCTCATGATATCATTGCCTCTTGTCTAGCTTTTTCTTTTTCTGCTGTTGGTGAGTTTTTGTCCATGCTCATGTTTCAAGTCAGGGCAATTTTGTTGCCGTTTTATTTTAATTAAACTGCACATGGGTTCTCATTACACAAACCTTATGGAAAAACCTATGTAGATTTTTTGTATGTATGGTTCAGTGCATGAGGGGATAAAATTTAGCTTTTAAAGATATGTATTGTAATTAAAATCTACTGATGCAAATAGATAAAGTAATCAAATAAAAACAATTAAATGTGTTTTAGATATTTCAAGTCTGAAAGAACACGTGTTATAGAATTAGCCCAAAAATATCTAAATTGACCAGCACAAGAAAAACAATGGTTGTTCTTTCCTTAAGTGGGGGTCTTTAAGAGTGAATTTGGCACACACACAAAAAAAAACCCACCATGTTACAATATTACATAATACAGTGTTGTGTCTTGGTGGGCCGGTCTACCTGTGTGAGGCAAGACTTGAAAGCACACAATACACTGTTTTTTTGCTGTAATCCATGATATTATGATGTTTTTATTGCCATATGTTAAAGCCGCTTTTTTATGTGGTTTGGTTGCAGTGCTGTTTGACTTGGAGAAATTTGGAGACCATCATGATCCTTCTGACTCCTACATCTGGTATGTAGAATAATCGATACGTATATGTAAAACAGTGGTACATGTCATTTCTGCTCCCTGCACAGCTAAGAATATGGCTGTTTGTTATGTTTGGGATTTTTAATAATGAGTGACACTAGCTGTGTTTCTGCAGCAATGGTTGGCACAGGCCTGGACTTCCTCATATGATGAGGACGGCTAGGTTGCACCAAAAGTAGTTTCTTAGTGGTAGGCTCATGTCTGTTATTTAAAAACATATGGGCTATTATTTTGCATGACGTATGATAATATTTGTCCTGAAGTTGCTTATACTTTTTAACCTGCCTATTTACACTAAGGTTCAGTTACGCAACTGAAGTAATGTGCTACCTACGGAGAGTATTAGACCGTATTAGTGTTCTGGAAACAGATAAACGTTAATCCTGTCAATCCGGGCTTCTGTCACATGTAGCATAGGAATTAAGCATGCAAGAAGACCTTTGGTAATGGCTACGTGGGGTCTTTAAGCAAAAGTTAGTTGATATGCTCTTTGGTATTCATGTCAGTTGTTAAGATTACACTGCCACAACAAAAAGGAGATATTTCCCCTGCTTTAACTCATCCCTTTAGACTTAGGACTAATTTCTAGTTCTTTATCTAGGTAAAACTGGATAGATAATACGAAAGCTCAAATGACATTATCTAAACATTCGCAAACAGGAAGCTACTATAATTCTCACTTATCTTAAAGTGCCCCTATTATGCTTTTTTAAAGGTTCCTAATTTTGACCTTAATAATTTAAGGTCTCCTACAATAGGTTTACATCCATCCAAGTTCAGAAAACACTTTCATATTCTCAAAATATTGCGCATCACCTTAGTTCTCAAATAGTTTGAAGCAATTTGTTCGAAGATTCAGTCTCTCGAAACCACGAGCCCACTCTGTTCTCATTGGTCAGATGGCCCAGTCTTGTTGTCATTTGTCTACCATTTATAGCACTTGTCAGAAACGAAACCATCTTTGAATTTCAACTCCGGAGGCTTCCTCAATCCTCAGCGATTGTACAGACTGTAAGCACAGTATTAATGGCATTGATTTTACCTCATCAATTTGAGCCTGAGTCAGATGATGAAACACTGGAAGAACTAGTTGATCAACCCAAACCTCCTTCACAAGAACGACTTGAGCATGATGTTTCTCAGTGGTAAGTTTTTACTAAGTCAGTATTAACTGCAGTGTATTTCCATCAACAAGCTGATGTGTATACTTCTAAGTGCACATGTGGGAACTGTATCAGTAAGCGTGTCAATAATGGTACGTTAGCCGAGCACTAACGTAAATGTCTGATGTAACATTACAGTTTGTAAACCAAAATCTCGCTTCATCCTTATAATTACTCAAGGTAGTTAGAATTATTAATGTGCATTAATTGACACAATTTTAGGTGGTCTAATAGTGGACCCACAGCTGAAAAGCAGAACTATTTCAGTTAGACAGTGGGTCTCATTCACTAAGCAAATTTGTGTGTGAAATCGGTGTACGAATGTTTTCACAAACAAATCATTACTCACCAAAAACGTTTGTACTAAAATCTATTCTAAATGTGCGAAGAAATTAAGGAACAAATGAAACCACATGTACGCAAAAAGCACTTTCTCTGTGCGGCCTTATAATAGTGTTAAGAAGTTATATTAACACAATAATTATATTATATAAAATAATACAATAGTTATAAATTATAATATTTATAATAAATAATACAATTTAATTCCATCTTAAATATATTTTACATCATATACGTTGACAGAATAATAAAAGCTGTGTTAGGTTTCTCTGAATAATGCAGATTTATACTAAAGTACAGCTGGCTAATAAGAGGTCTGTAATTGGTTTTATGAATGACACACTCGGCTTGAGGATCCTTTCTCTAAAGGCTGTAAAGGAGTGGTTGTGTGGAAACGCCTTATATGGAGATAGTTTGGGTGTGTTTTATGCAAATGAAATGACTAACCTAGTGCACTGTGCACGTAGTCACTCATTTAGAAGACTCCAAATTCATTCTCATTAGAATGAGATTAAAAACAAAGTCATGTACGTACGCACTTGTGAATTAGGCAGAGATTTTCTTTGTGAGAAGTTCAAAATAATCAAATACGAAATAACCAATTATTAGTGAATGAGACCCATTAACTTGAGTGGTTAGCTGGTGAACCCAATATAAAACACAAAACTATGTATTTTGAACACTCAGTAGGAAATGTATGCATGAATAATTAATCATACTTGCAGGTTGTGATTTAAAAGAAGCAAGTTGGCGTTTTGCAAATCCCGAGTTGACCTCACCGAGATTTGAGAAGCAGTCGTCAGTAAAATGACAGGGACACAACAAAAGGCTATACTGCTATGGTAATTTTAACCCCTGACTCTTCACATCCTCATCCTTTGAAAGTGTTTACAAAGAGAGTGCTTTAGCAGCACAGAAAACAGCATCTTCTCGACATGTCGACAACACAAACCAACTACAGTGTTTGAGGGCGGGTCAAAGTACAAATTGTTCGCGGGCAGCCAATAAAGACCATAGGATGGCTTTATGCAAATTTGTTGCATACAGGTACGTAAATATATGTTATGGAAGTGAGACTGGATTTACTGATGACTCTTTTCGGCAGTTCACAATCTATTCTTTCTTTTGGGAGACTATAACTTTATTTTTCATGTACTTTGATCTTTAAAACTTTGCAGACCTTTTACTTTCACAAACAGCTAAATTACACAATACATTCGTAAAAGCATAATGGGGCACTTTAATATAAGAAGGTGTTACTTTCATAGTTTACTACAACACTGTCATGCCACATTTCATCAGTTAGTCAAATACTAGTGTATTTTGCATACATTTATGAGAATTAAAATCTTTTTGGCATAAACATTTTCTGTAAAAATTAAAAGCTATTTACACTAGAATAGGTATATAAACTACTGTTTAAAAGTTTGGGGTTAGTAAGTCTCTAATGCTCACCAAGGCTGCTTTTAATTAAACATACAGTAAAAAGGTAATATAAGGAACTATTATTGTGACTTAAAATAATTTTCTATTTCAATATATGATTTAAAATTTGATGTATTCCTGTGATGACATAGCTGAATTTTCAGCAGCCATTACTCCAGTCTTCACTACCAATATAATTCATATTTACTTACTTTAATTAGCTTTATTCATTTAAGGTTATGTTATTCTCAATGGATATCTCACATTCTGAAAATAATTTGAAAGGAGGTCTAATTGCCTTGATCTACAAACAAACATCAAGCTCTATGGTGAATTCTGTGTGTTGGCATGTGCTGTGTCTCATTGACTGTTTTCTTTCAGATGAAGAGTCGCTTGAAATCGACTGGCTTTGGAATCACATCAAGTTCAGGTTACAAAACACAATAGTAGGAACCCTTACTTAAAGGTGAAGTGTGTGATTTAATCCTAGTTTAATATGCAGAAATCGGCTATAATACGCCTTTTTTCTGATTCCCCATAAAAATGTAAACACTGTTGTTTTGTGGCACTATCAAAACATCACTCTGTTGGTCGGAGCAGACAGACGTAGCAACATTGGCTCAACCAATGGTGTGCGCTTAAAGCAGAGCTATCTGTTGTTCTGACCAGTGGCAGACGGGGGATGTGTTTGTTTGCTAGTGACACAAAAATTACACACTTCACCTTTAAACCTTTTTAATGTCTTTGTGAATGCTATAGGCAAGATTTTTTGTTTTATGAGCTTAAAATATTTACACGTAATGTGCATGTGTTCTTGCATGCTTCCCTCCCCTAGAAAAGCAGCACATGCCAAAAAATGAAAGTTGACCTGCAAAGAACTTGTCATGCATATAAATGTTTGTGTCTTTTGTCATATCAAATCTGCAAATGGTGGACTTGAGTCTCCATGAAGATCTTTGATAGCATAATGACTAAAATGGGACAAATAATGATGTGAATTTCTCTAGGAAAACACAAATTCAACCACTTCAGATGTTCTTTTAGATTGTATGCCCACTGATTTGCTCCAACTCAAGGACTTCTTTTATGTGGCTTCATTGAAAATCACAGCAGTGCTCCAGTGGCAAACAGACTTGGTCACACTTAAAGAAAAGCACTAGAATTCTAACAAGTCTTTCTTGCTTATTTAACTATTTTTAGAACTTTCACTGTTACTATTCTTTTACTTTTATATCTATCATCTGTATAGTGTAATCATTTCAGTAGTTAGATGAAATTATAATGGGTGCTTGAATGCAGTACCAAAGATGGTTGATGAGTAAATGATTTGTGAGAGTTCTGCTTTGAGATTTGAATCTGCATTGCACTGCATGATTGCCAGTTGTTGTGGGTGTGAGCAGGCATAACTTCTTTTTACAAAGACAGGCATCTCATTGTAAAAATGGTTATGTCAGCCATTTTTAATACTCCCTCAATCAACTGATTGCTGACCACTTTCTAAACACTGTAGTCAAAGCAACACCAGATTATCTTATTATCCAAATGAACCAAACTCTAACATCAATCGAACTCGGGTGCGCGCCAAAAGTAACTTAAAGGTTTAAAGAATTAACTTTTTTTTAAAATATATTTTCAAGTATTTAAATTGGTTTAAACCAAAGCTTCAGTTTTAGAGGGCTAATGGTTGTAGATCATGTGATGAATCATAACTCCAGGAATGTTCTTTCTATTTTCTGTTGAAAATGTTTAATTTGCTATGGTAATAGCACTTTGTGGTTTTAGTGCACAGGGATGAACAGTCATTTGATCACATCAATCAAGTGAGTTTCTTTCTTTGGGTAAATGTCTTTTATACCTTAGCATAACATAATTATTGTCTAATTGAAATGACAAATATTGTGCAGTGCTTATTCCCCCCCCCCCCCCCCATTTCATAAATGTTATTTTTATGAAAATGTTTTAAAATACTACAATGAGTCAACCTCATTTCAAAATTATAGCTTAAAATTATAGTTAACCCGACTGAGGTGGAGACAAGAGTGATAGAGACTCAGGTGGACCCGATAAGCTGAAGACCCTGGGCGATGCTGCTGTCCTGGAGGGTCTAGGCAGAACTTCGAGCTTGCAGGACCTTGCAAGACCTTGACCAGACAGTGGTGGAGCTGGAGAGAAGGAAGAACCTGGTGGAGCCAGGTTGGAGGGACAAGGCGTAGCCAGAGGACCGGGAGTCCATGGCGCAACCAGGGTGATGACTGACCAAGGCAGAGCCCAGTGGAGCTTGTGGGATGACGGCTACGATGGAGCGTGGCACCAGTCGGTTGACTGGGCAAAATTAAGTCCGGGGACCGCAATGACACAGACTTGGTGCTGAGCTAGGAATCTGCACCACCAATGACGAAGGAGACTTGAAACTAATGCCTTCACATTCTTCAATCATAACACTAGGTGTCGAATTCATCACATTCACCACAGTGTCTGTATGTGCGGGGCTCCACTCAGTGCCCTCTATTGATACCACCACAGGCACAGGGATCGGCTCTCACACCTGATCAGACTCTTTTTCCAGCTTGAACTTCGGGTCGACTGTGGCCTCAAGAGTAAACTCCTATGGGATTGAGTGGCTTTTTGGTGCTGGCAATGAGTAGTCCTCTTCTTACTCACAGAAGGTGAACGGGTCGGGCATCCACACCAAAGTGGCTCCCAAAGTTAGAAAAATTCTTGAAAATTGCTTTCTTTTTCGCACTGAGCCCTGCCCGGAAAAACACAGGCCATAGTGGATGAGATGGACCAGGTCTATGAAGTCCTGTGTCTGTTCCTTGTGGGAACAATCCCCCTGTAAAAGGATAAGGATTTGTACTGCCACTAGATCCATTCTGCTGGGTTCTTTCTGCCACAATGAGGTTGATGCAGAGATGAGGAGATCCGGATGTATTTTCTGCAGTTTCTTATTCATTAAAAAATAACATAGGTACTCAGCATACACTGGAATCAAAAACCATGAGCAGAACAACCTGGAACCAAGATTAACTGAAAACAGACTCCATGTATACTAACACAAACCAATGAGCGAATCGAGAAACGGGTGCAGTGCATAATCAATCAATGAAAAACCAGGGTAACAAACACGAACACAGGCAACAGAACACAAACCAACTCAGAATAGAACTCAAACTCAAACAGACGTAGTATTTCATATAATTATACTATTTATTACATAATTATATTGTTTTATTATTCACATAATAATGTGAATACAAAGGTTGTTGTTTTTTTAAGAAAGGCTTTTTTGCAATAAGTGAGAGAATCATTTGTGGTCCTCTGTTTAATGTTAATAACACTATGTTAATATGTTTTAGAGAGGAAGTGAATCATTACAAGAATCACATGTTTAGACTATGGAAGAACTTGAACTTTATAGTTAGTTAGCAGATACTTTAAATAAAGTTTAACTAGTTAACTCCAATGGAATTCATTCAATTTACACTTTAATATATTTTTATGTAACTGAGAGCTCGTCAAACATGCACTGAACTCGCTGTTGTGTAATTGCTCATGTTTTTTGTTGTTGTTGTTTTTTTTGGTAGCCTTTTTCCAGGACGCTAACAAACTGCTTCTAAACGAACAGGCTAACTGGGTGCATCTAAAGGAGTTTGCCCGGAAAAATGCGGCCAACTCTCTTTCTGTTGCCAACATGCTCATGGGCATGGCTTCAATCCTCTGCAGTCTCAACGGGTATGCATTCATGCTTTTGATTTGTACTCCACAGAGAATATCAAATGCATACAGAAATGTAACTTTTTTTTTACTTTGAGATAAATCTATTTGACTCGGTGACAATTCATTATGGGAACGTTGTTACAGTAGAAGGAAGTTTAAAGGAATTTCAGAGTTTGAGCTTAAATTCAGTTAAATCTCTTTGACTTAATTGTAGTTTTGTGCTTTCTTTCTTTATGTCCCTGTTATTCACAGCCATCATCATGCGGCCTGCTGGCTGGTTCTGATCGGTTACCTGCTGGATTTAGCAGATGGAGCGGTTGCTAGGCAACTGAATGCGTGTTCTGCACTGGGTGAGTAGTGTTGAGTGTTCTTAAGTTCAAGTGAGTGGGGCCAGGAGTGAGTCTTGTTTCTTAAGATGCTTCAGTCCCCTTATCAAGAAGTAAAATGAAGGGAAGGAATAAATGATCAATTTAATAATTCAAACATAAACATGTAAAGAAAAGCAGTTGTACAATTATATATATTAAAAAAAAATAGGAAATTTAGAAAATAAGGAAAGTTATTGATGAATCGGGATTTGTTCGCGAAAATGTTTGTACGCAGTTTTCCCACCCACAAAAAAACAAAAAAATAAGCAGGTTTTCTTTTTCAAACCACGAAACCTTGCCAACTCTGTAGCGGGAAACCAGTGGATAGTGCAGGCGGTCACGTCCACCCAGCTGCCTGAAATAGCTCCGCAATGCCCTCACAATGCCTAGTCACTTGTACTCTTGAGCTGCTTACTGTTGTCGCTCTGTTGTTCTGCAGAACCTCACTGATGGTTGTTGTTTTGCCTCCCTTTTTATGGCAATTGAGCAGTTCGTTTGTGATGAAGCAGCCTAATTCAGGGGGATCGTGTTCTGATTGTTTGTTTTATCCCGATGCTTTGGACCACCAACATATTTGACATTGCTCAAATTGTTGACCACGGAATTGGAATACCAGTCCACTTATTTGGACACACACTCAAATGTTCCTGGTGAAAACATGCCCCCACCTCTCTAGATAAAAAAACTCCTGAATGTTGTTGATAGATGATGATAATGAGCTTTTTTGGACTGGCATGAAGATTTTTCTCTTTCTCTTTTCAGATCGTATTAATAGTTAAATAGTTTAGTGCATTAATGGGAATGGAGCGGATGGTCGACTGATAATCCAACAACAGAATAATCGATTAGCATCGCAATAACTGTCAGCACAAGTGATGGGGAGTCAAACTCATTTCCGTCAATCAGTTTGTAGCAAGGTTAGTGTTCAGGGAAGAAGGAGGCGGGAACCGCAAATGTTCCACATACTGTAACTTTAATTCATAAATAAATAAACAAACACCAAATGAAAGTAAAGCGGCAGCCCCTCACGAACGCCTGCTGCACAAACATAACAAAACACAATGTAAATAGTCCAGGCCTGGTCCTTTATCACTCACTGCTGTCACTCCTTTTATCCTCCCAGAGCTCCTCCTTGAGACATTCAAGGCGCATTAGAAATCATGCAACCGGCCTTACTCCATTCCCATGGCTCTCGGCCCGCACTGCTTGCCACACAGTTCTTTAAAAGAAAATGATTCAGTGACTCGAAGTTTATTTAAAGTTCTGGAGGAGCACATTCAGGTAACCAACCAATCCGCATCGCAAGAGGAAGCTGGTATATATAGCCATCCCTCGCCTCGGTCCCGCGTTAGTTTCACAGCATCCCTCCACCCAGTCAAGGATGGGGAGCACTCTGGGTTTAGGCCAATTTCCGAGTTTAGAGCTCTTCCCAGGAAGTTTTAAGTCGATGAGTGCTTAACTTTCATGCCAGTAAGTCGTTTCCACATCACGCTTGAAACTTAGTGCCTGGCTGTTCCAAACTGGGAGCCAAAACTTGGGATTTTTGCATGTCTTAGCCTCAGATGTCATGCCCACAGACCATTGGCTGAACGTCTGATGCATAAGACACACAAAATGGGAAACAATTTGTGAGTTTCAAAGTCATTATCTGATTGGTTGAATTCTAGGGGATTTCCAGGAGACGTGTGTCACGTTCTTTAACGGTCTGCCTGGAAACAATGCCATCGTGAAGCCCTTATGAAGGAGAAAGCGGTCTTACAACTGTGATAATGAGTCGCATAACTGGATCAACTAACTGCTGGACGTTCAAAAATATATTTATATAATTGATTAGATGCACCACAGTCTGTTGTTGGGACAGTGTTTTGTGCATTGAATGTTGCATTTTTGCGATGCAGCAATGTTTTTTTTTGTTTTATTTTTTTACTGCAGGTGCAAAGTTGGATGATTTTGCTGATTTCACAACATTTGGAATAGCAACATCTCTCATCTTAAGGACACCCAGTCTACTGGATAACATCCTGTGCATGTTGTATGTGCTGTCTGTCTTCACTCGTCTCTGCTTCTTCTCTAGTGGTGAGGAACTTCCAAGATTGTTTACATACATAACACACAAATTTAGTCTTTAGCTGAACTATTCTATTTGCCAACACAAGACAAATCTCTCTCATATATAATGATAAAAAATGACCACTTTTATACAGGAAGGATGCATCAGATTGATCATAAGTGACAGTAAAAGCATGTAATGTTACAAAGGATTTCTATATCAAATAAATTCTGTTCTTTTGAACTATGTATTTAAATAATCCTGAAAAAAGTAACACTAAATTAATAGTATGAAATGTATGAACACTAAATCAGCATGTTAGAATGATTTTTGAAGGATCGTGTGAAACACTGAAGAATGTAGTATTGGCTGCTGAAAATTCGGCTTTGCCATCACACGAATAAATTACAAGTAAAGTAGAAAACATTACTTTCACAATATTACTGTTTTTACTGTATTTTGGATCAACTGCAGCCTTGCTGAGCATAAAAGACTTCATTCAAAAACTTCCAAACTTTTGAACGGTATATATCCCTATAAAAAGTGGCTGTCAGTTAGAGATGTGTCTGTTGTTTTCCGCAGGAATCCCGTTCATGTACCGTGGCCTACCATGCATCTACTCCTCTGCCATCCTAGTGTGTGTTTCTCTGCTGACTGGAGGAAACATGGCAGTACTGAGAATCTTAGCAGTGGCCATGATTATCTTCATGGTCAGTCAGAACTTCTACCCTCATGACCGAGTACTGGAGTCTCAGGCCTGGAAGAAGGTGGTCTACGTCGGTGGTAAAGACAATAACCAATAAATGACTGGCTAATAAATTAAAGTTCTACACTATTTTGTCTAAATGAATAAAATGCAAACGAATGAATTCGGCATTACAACATTGTATTAAAATGAATATATTCATATTGAGATTTACTAAAGGTTACATGATGCAAATGTAATTAAATTATTGCTGCTTTTAAGTGAGTGTTCAGTGTAAAAATAGGGAAATTAGCATGTACATTTAAATATTTACCAATTTTCACCAAATAATTGCATACATTTTTTTTTTCTCTCTCTCTCTCTATTTAGGAATTGCCATGGTGTTTTGCCCCTCTTTCCCTCCAGCTTGTCTTTACTACTTGTTATGGTCAGTTTCCTACATACTGTTTCCAACAACCCTTTGGAGCTGCAAAGTGTAAAGGGGTAATGGCCTATGGGGCTCATTCGACAGAGAACCCCTTGTGCTTCTGCAAAGAAAAATCAAACCAATTTAGAAAATCAGAAAAATCACTTTTTGTTTTGAGGTGATGAGCTTCATGAAATCTCCATGATCTACAATAGGAGGCCTACAGTATGGACATTTTGATTGCTGCTGTTGTTTCATCGCTAAGGGTGAGAAATGCTCTTTGCCTCTGCTTCACACATATTGTCATGTGTTTCGAAGGTCATGTTGACACAGATACAGTAGATGGTCTCTAATACACTATGTGTGGTGTTTGTTGCACTGTTCAGCCTGACGGATTTAAATCTGAAAAGGCAAGAAGCAGAGTAGAGATTGTCAAATTTGCTGTGGAATTTATACTTGTAGAATTATGCTTATTATTATTATTTTTAATTTTGGTTATTGTTTAAGAGACTGATCCGGAAAAGACAACTCGACTCTTAATCATAATCATATTTTCCGCTTTCTTTATTCTGATTACTTTGCCCTTTTTTAAATAAATACCAAAAGGGAATTTTATGCATATGATCTGTGTCATTTCATGTAAAAAAAAATAAACAAAAATTAAAAACACTACAGTATGAATAAGGTAGTGGTTTCATGTAGTTTATCTGGTGCCTGGACTTTGATCAACACTTTATGTCCCATATAATATTAGCTAGGCCTTTTAAAATCAATTCCTTGAATAGGAAGAATGTGGCAGTTGGTTTAATTTTGATAAATGAGTTGATCCGTATCAATTGGCCTCTGTTTTAAGGGGCCCTGCTTTCTGACTCATTAATCAGTAATTACTTGTTTAGCAAGTGATCTTCCATTGGATTTGCTGTTCTGTTCACAGGTTCAATGGGAGATTGTTACCCTGCAACATAACAGTATTGAGGCATTAATTTGTGTTTTGTGCACCACTTGTGGTTACTTTTTATTAAAATTTAGTTGATGTTAAAAAGAAAATGTCTTTGTGTTTTTTAAAGGTCTGTCTGTGAAGGATTTGGATGGTACACCCTTGTACCATGCTATTTCCATTAAAATACTGCAGTACATTCAATGCTGTGCAACAGCAAAAAGCAGTAAATAGAAATGTTTACTACTCAATAAAATTAAGTTAAACACATTCGTTTAAAATGATGTCCTGTGACAGAAAAAAAAGTAATTTTAATGGTAAAATCTCACTTGAATTGTCAAAACATGTACATGTATAAATTAAGCAGACACTTTTATTCAAAAATAGGCAGTCACATGAAAATTGTTGTATCGTGTTCAAAAGAAAAGAACTTCTAGATGAAGAAGGTGACGCACTGAAACCAGAGACAGCTAGAAAAAAAAATACTCAGGTCTTTTAATACTGTAGTGAACTTAAAGTGAAAAATAATATTTTAAAACATTAAGTAGGCTAATAAGTACACCTATACTGGCTCGTTTCTCTTTTAATAGTCCTTGAGACCGTTACTAAAACAATAAAACTGTCGTAACGTCCCATTAGACAAATAAAGTGGCATTAGTCATCCCTTTAATAAAAAAATAGAAATTAAAAGGACGAAGATTCAGAAAGTACTTTCTGATTTTACATTAGCAATAATGTTTAGCCTCATTTATCCTCGTTTACTTTCATATTTGAAAAGAAATAGGGCGACATCTAGTGACGCTCTGCATGCAATGGCTAGACTAGACTACAAACTAGCTGAAATGGACGTCAGTCTTAAATGGAACTGAATCTATTGTGCTATTTGTACGCAGTGCAGAAATGATAAATTGGAAGTCCTCTGAATGTGTAGATCTCATTGACATTGAGGCAGTCCTGCTATCCTCCTGTACTCGCAGATGTCCATTTGTTGTTCAGAGCGAAGCGGTTTTGTGTCAGCGAGATACTTGTATGAGTCTAGAAGCCGAATAATGGCAGAGTACACAGGCCTGTCCTTGAAGTTCCACATGCAGCAGTACTTTATTAAGTCATATCTGCAATATATGCCAGATAATATGAATTTTTATGCTGTTTAAACAAGATTTTCAGGTTTTCTTAAACACTCAAGTCATAAAGGAGCAAGACAACAATTTACATGGATAATAAAATAAATAAATACAAAGACTTACAATGGGGCTCCACAGTTTTCTGGTCTTTTCATCCGGTAATGGGCTAAAGTTTTGGGCAGCACTTCAGACGGATCCAGGTCAGGATAGGGAGGAGATCCTTTCAAAAGAGAAGGAAGCTAAATATAAGACTGCTATTTTGTTTGCTTTCATATTCATTTTAATGAAAATGTTCAAAGTAACAACTGGTGTATTGATATTACCCAGGGTTATCATCTCATAAAGCAGGATTCCAAAAGACCATCTGAAGAAAGGATGACAGCACAATGTAGAAATCATCAAATCATTAACACTGGTCAAAGCGCAGTATTTTTTAAAATTCCTGATAGACTCACACATCACTCCTGTCTGTTATGGGAAGCCTCATCATCCGTTCTGGCGCCTGCCATTTTACAGGCACATTGACTTCTTGTTCCTTGTCCACCATCCTCAACTGGCGGCTCTTAAAAGCCCAATCCAATCCGGACACTTTGACAGAGAGCCCTGAACCAATCAACATGTTCCGGGCTGCAACATCCCCATGGATAATTCTGTGGTAGGAGTGTATGTAGTCCTAAGTAAAAATGAACAAATGATTTTAATGAAGGTCATTTACTTGATTTATGCTCTGTTTCCAGGACATAAATGACTCACCAGACCTGCTGCGACCTGTTTAGCTGCTAGATATACAGACATCTCTGAAAACACTTGGAAGTTATCACCTGCACCACATCTGTCCTGTTTAGAGAGAGTTCAGTTGAGAAGAAAAATTAGTGATGAGACTTAACCCATGTATGTTCTTTGTCAACGTAACGTTAGGTGTTTTTACTTCTCGAAGACTCCAGAGGAAATGCAGGAGGTTTCCTGGAAAGCTTGCCTCCAAAACCAGATACATGGGCGTCCGGCGTGTCTGACAGTATAACATCTTCACTATATTCTCGTGTTTGCTCACTGCTGCAAGGAAGAGGCCAAAATCCACAAATTCTGTCGCCTCCGATTGATTTGACCTGTCTGAAACAAGATATATGCAACATTTGCAGTCGTGTGACTACACTCATAAATTCTACTCGTATTTCTTCTAATGTAAATAAACAGCATGCTGGAGCAGAATCATTTTTAATTTAATTCTCAGAAGAAGCATTTCAGAATGATGAATTTGTGTTGTAATGTACCTTTAAGAGTTTTAATCACCACAGCAGTGGATGTGTTGTCTTGTTTTAGGTGAGCCGTGCAGATTGGCCCATAACGTCCCATCTGAAGCGGCTCCACCCCCACCAGGGTGCACAGAGCTGGTATCTCCCATGGAGCCAGAGCTCCCTGTGTAGGCCGCAGGGTCCCGGCGCCTGTGTCCAAGGGTACAGGTTCCCCTTCTGAAAGACAGTTGATTCAGCAAATACTATTTCTCATGATTTGCTCAAATACTAAAAATGAACTTGAGTTCAAAGTGTTGCCTTATTTACCGTTTACACTTGAAGATGAGCCTGCGATAACCTGAGCTGATGATTTTTTTGTAACGAAGCTCCATATTATCTGAGACACAACAATCAGGGTGCTGAGAGCCAGAAAGCTTGGAATAATAATGACCGCAAACGGACCTGATCCTTCCTCGTCTGTCCATTCATATAAACACAAGGCAAAATACGTATGCTGGAAATGTCATAAACAAAGGTAAAAGCATTTAAAGTATTTCAGACGCAATAGTATACTGAAAGAAAGGTGGACTCTTACGTACAACTGACAGGATCAGAGCCAGATGTGCTGTTGTATTGGGCCTGTACAGCCATAAGGGGGTCTCTTTAACATTTCTAAAACAGGCTAAATAAAAGATATTAGCAAAATCATTTAAATAGAAAGAGCATATGTTTTAGAGATGAATTGCAAGAAATAATATCTAAATATCTCAATGTATATTGTGAGTGCCCGTAATCCTTACCTTACTGGAATATAGGTGGAAAAGAAACTTTTAAAGAGGTTTCTGACGGGTAGCTTTTTTTGTTTGTCTCTTTCTGTTAGCATGAAGTCTGATTTTGACTTTCAGAGCAATGACCGTGAGGGTGACTGCCCTCCGCATTAATGATTAACTTCACTATAGGACCCTTTAACTGTTGCCAGGAGTGCAGTGTTTTTTTCTGAATTGCAGATTATTTTCACTCATCATTCTTGGGTAAAATGACGTGAGATGCACATAAAGATTTTTTTTTCTCTTGATCATAGATGGCACAAAATCTTATCTCAACACATTTAATGAATACATATTTACGGAAGCCCTGAACCGCAACCTAAAAAAAAAAAAAAAGTCAGTAAAAAAAAAAAATCTTAAAAAAAAAAAAATCTGTAAAAAAAAAAAAAAAAATCTGTAAAAAAAATCTGTAAAAAAAAAAAAAAAAAATCTAGCATTTCGAGATTAAAGTCGAAATGTTTCGAGATTAAAGTCGAAATGTTTCGAGATTAAAGTCGGAATGTTTCGAGATTAAAGTCGAAATGTTTCGAGATTAAAGTCGAAATGTTTCGAGATTAAAGTCGAAACATTGTGCATTCATAACAGTGCGCGTCCACTGGCTCAGAGCGCGCGCGTGTGTGTTGAACTGCCATGGATAAACCCAAAATAGTAGCTTTTCGGTCTCCTTTGATGAAACAAAACACACACACACACACACACAGTGTGTGAAACTCGCTATTGGCCATTATGAATGCCTGTGTGTGCGGCAATGTGAGACAATGGAAAGCACACACGCGCAGCTTCTACGCGATAGCGAGTTTCACACTGTGTATGTGTGTGTGTGTGTGTGTGTGTGTGTGTTTTGTTTCATCAAAGGAAATTCAACAGGTGCCAATCTACCAGCATTAGGCTACCATTATAGGACGTTATAAAATATACTGCGCCGGAATAGACTTTAGCCTATAGGAAAACCAACACGGAAAACACTTTTCAGACTGGATGGAGAAATCCAGCTTTATGAATGAATGAATGAATGAATGAATAGGGCATTTATAGCGCTTTCATATATGCCTACACTCAAAGTGCTTTACAATCATATCACAGAATCTCTCCTCAACCATAAGTGGTTATTAAATCTTAGGAAATCACAGGATCCGGCCAAATGATTGGATACAGAATGATGCACTTAAAATGTATCCAGAGCGTATTTACGGGGAAGAGGAGACCGAACAGTTACTGTTGTGTTCTCGACCCAGATAGTGTTGAGACGAGCACGAAAACACCTCAGTAGCACGTGTGACGTGTGTAGAATTTTGTTGAAAGCCCAGATAAAAGTAAAAAGCTACTATTTTGTGTTTATCCATGGCAGTTCGACTTCACACACACACGCGCGCGCGCTCTGAGCCAGTGGACGCGCACTGCACAATGTTTCGACTTTAATCTCGAAACATTTCGACTTTAATCTCGAAACATTTCGACTTTAATCTCGAAACATTCCGACTTTAATCTCGAAACATTTCGACTTTAATCTCGAAACATTTCGACTTTAATCTCGAAATGCTAGATTTTTTTTTTTTACAGATTTTTTTTTTTACAGATTTTTTTTTTTTTTTTTACAGATTTTTTTTTTTTTTAAGATTTTTTTTTTTTTACTGACTTTTTTTTTTTTTTTTTAGGTTGCGGTTCAGGGCTTCCGTACATATTGCCTCTCTTCTTACTCGTCTTTACGTCTTTTAATCTGAACTGCCACATTTGTGAGGTTTAGTCAGATAAAACGGTTAATGGATCTTGTTTCGTGTCTCTGGGAAATAGTGGTCATTATGTACAGTCATAAATAGTGGTCATAAATACCTTTCAGATAGATATACTGGAATTCTATATTGTATCTGGGATTGAGTTGTCAATGCTACACAAAATGTAAAATTATTCAATTTAGTCCTCTTAATAACACACTGGCTCATGCATTATCATCATACACACGCTTAACACATATCTAAATATCCAAAAAGTAAATGCATATTGAAAATACGCTTCTAGGCCTTGACATTGATACAATATATGATATTGTGCATGTTCTCTCATCTTCCCATACAGAGTGCAATTCTATACTTCAACAGAAGATGGCACTATAATACAACATCAAGCCTAGAAGCCTGGCTTTTAACCCTTGATGAGAATGATATACAGTATTATTTAACTGTATTATTAACATTGCCGTTATGAGTAAAGTAAAGTTTATGTTAAATTGTAAGGCAATGAGAATTCTGTATTGTTCTTTTATTTTGCCATATTTAATGTATTGTTTGGAGATTTGGGGGAATTCTTATTTTACAAATTTAGCGCCCTTGTTTATTTTGCAAAAAAGGGCTTTGAGAATAATTCATGGAGTTGCTCCCAGAGAACACACTACAGGACTGTTTCTGGAGTCAGGGCTACTTAAATTGAAGGACTTGGTTTCTTTACAAACTTTGTTAGTTGTTCACAAAGCTAAACACTGCCTGTTACCGTGTGGACTGCAAACCCTTTTCACTTTAAACAGTGAGACAAGCAGAAGAAATAATGACTTCAAACAACCTTTTGCTGGCAATACCCTCAAACAAATGTGTGTTTCAGTCTCCGGTGTGAAAAGATGGAATCTTCTAGAAAATGATCTAAAATGTTGTTCAAATATCTTACAATTTAAATATAATTATAAACAAAAGATACTTAAAGTCTATAAAGAAGAATGTGAAAACTAATAGAATTATTACAATAATTATGCTTTCGTTGCTATTTTGGCTGTTGGATCTGTCATTATTTTATCCTTGTTGTTTTTTTGTTTATCTAGTATCATGTAAGCAGAATTAGTATTAATAGATAATAATAATAATAATATTAATTATAATAATAATAGACAAAGAGAGAAAAATGTGTTATAATTGAAGGTAGATTATATCTGGTTTGGGCTTGTCGTATGTGTATGTGCATGTGTATATATATATTTTTTCTTTTTCTTTAAGTTTTCTGTTGTTTGTCATTTTATGTTGGTGAGGTCATCTAATTTGTGAATCTTGTTTATAGGAATGGGGTAGGAGCTTATAAGATTTTTTTCTTCATCCTACTCCTGTTCTTTTCTTTGTCATGGAATGTACTTTGTGTTGGTTTGATTTGTTAAATTGTTTTTGTGGTATTTCGTGTTGCATTACCATGAAAAGAAAGAATAGAAAATAAATGAAATGAAATTATTATCTTTGTAAAACTAGTATTAATGCAAGAAAGAAATGGCATGTTGATATTTTAAAACAACATCAAAATCATGTTTATGTGCAAAAATGTGTAAAAGGTGGTGTGAAATTACAAGGTTTATACACAGCTGTTCAACACGAACCATGGTTTTCAAACAGGATTCAGTGAACAGCTGAAAGGCATCTAAAAGGAAACCCAGGGGTCTGTGGAGTATACTTAAATAGGTAGATAGGCCATTTCAAGATATTTCTCACTTTTAAATCACAAATTTTAAATATTTGATCATAAGCATTGTATAATGTATGTTAATATTCTTTTGTTATGCATAGTAGTATGCATAGTAATTATAACTTCTCATTCTTTTGATCTTATTCTTATCATAAAGTGGGTTTCATCTTTGTTAATATTTTTAATTTGAAGAACTTTTATTGTTTTTATTGTTTATTTAATGAAAGGTGCTATGCAAATAAAGTGATGCTATTATCAGGCCTATTATAAAACATTTGTATAAACTTTTACCAAGAAAATCCCTTGATTTACATTTTACCACTTACTATCTTCAAAATATATTTCATTAGGCATTTTCAGACTGTGATAAAGGGCAGCAAGTATTTTTGTTCTCAAAAGAGTCAACACCTTTCTGCCCTAGAAGCGTGGCAGACAGGCTTTTGAAGTTCGCTATTGTGAAATAGTATGGGAAAGCCCGCCCTCTCGCTCTCATTGGCTGCCCTGCTCTCGTCCACTCTGCACCACTGACAGTCGCTGCTCTCGTTTGGCGCAAATAACAAGGTGAAAATCTGTAAAGTTGCAAAGCTGCGCCTACAAAAATCAACGACGTGCGATGACAGCTCTACACAGACAACAACAACCCACACAAGAGGGCGTTTCTACGTGAGTCAAATGTCGTGGGACAGTGGATCTAGTTAGTCGTGTATTCCCGATCCATCCAGGTATATGGTTGTTCGTCGTTTCCCGTGAACGCGCCGGTAGCTGATGTCATTGAAACAGGTGCGCGAAACCCAAGTTAACAACAGTCGCCCTAGATCGCGAGGGATTACACACGGATGTGAGTGTTTTTCTACGGCGTTTCTTACCAAACGAGGCTGTATTCCTTTTTATGTGCCTGGATAAAGGCTGTACAGTGCCTCGGGTGATAGTTTATTGCTATTTCCGTGTCCTTTTCTCCTAGAAAGCGCTTGTTTGGATCGTGAAGACGACGTTTGGCGACACTTCTTGGTGAGCAGTGAGGTCTAGCATAGATTTTAAGGCAGCGAAGAGCCCTTTTCCGTCGTGTCTCAATCCAGATTAATTTACGTGAATGTTGACTGAACCATACAGGGAATATGCTTTAAGAACCGAGCGATGCCAACTCTGAAGTTTTGAAAGCTTTTCTAATCTTTTTCACCAAGACATGGGAATGAAGCCGCTGTGCTTTACTGCGCTTTGAACGCTTTTGCATAAGGAAATAACCTGTTTCAAGAGACTCGTTTACGAAAGGGATTAATCATGTCCAAGACGCTGAAAAAGAAGAAACATTGGTCCGGTAAAGTGCAGGAATGTGCCGTTTCGTGGGGTAACGCCGGGGAGCTCAGCGCCGTGCTGGAGATACTCGGGGGAGCCGAGCACGGAGAGTTCCCGTACCTCGGACAGGTGTTGTCGGACGCGTTAGTGTGCCATGTCGGCAGACTACCTGGTACCGGAGATGTGCTTCTGGAGGTGAACGGCACGCCTGTCAGCGGACTGACAAACCGAGACACCCTCGCTGTCATCCGCCACTTTCGCGAACCCATCCGTCTGAAGACTGTAAAGCCAGGTTAGTTGGTTAACCCAATTTCTAAAACATAGCTAGATACAACAGTTTGTACAATTAGCACCAGGGTTCATTTTGAAAGCTCTGGTAATAGCTAACGTTAGTTTTTAAGGCAAGAGGACTGCTTGTGCTCGAATGTTACAAGTTATTCAGGGACTTTGGCCAGTCGCAGAAACTTTCACGCGCTCTGTGTAGCTTCAATGTTTCAGAAGTCACCTGTCTTCTTCTCTAGCTAGCTGCTTTACGGCTGAAACTTATTTTCTTTTTCTTAAGTGATTGTTTTCATAACATTCACGCTATTATTTCCACGTTTATTAATGTGAAGCAACGCGCTGTGACTTGACTAGAAGACAAAATACAACCTGAGAAGATCTGAATGGCGAAATTGATAAGCTGTTACATTGTTCAATCAATGTTATTGACCTGATAAATATGCAAATAAGAACGATGGGTTATAAATCTACAGTGTGAAATATGGATTAAGGAAATTTCAGGTGTAAAAATTAGGCAAGCCTACTGTTATGGCAGCAGCTCTATTGTTTTTGAGACAGCCAAATCTATTACTTGCATTTGCTTATAATTACTTAGTTGGCATTTTGATTAAATGGGACTCTCAAGGAAAAAGTGGATTTTAACGTAAGCCATTTATCACTGTTACCACAACAGGAGGAAATTGAGACTATCCATCATGAGGAAGTCTTGATACCACTAGATGCTTTCTGTTTATGGTTAACCACAATGATTTCATTAAACGTGCTGCTGGTAGATCGTAAATAGTTTTACATTCCATATAATAGAGACTTCCAAAGTTTATTTAAGCTCCTAAACTATAAGGTTACAAGTGTTTACAGTTGTTAGACTGTTAATCTTGTGTTTGTTGGAGATAAATAATGAGGATCTACAAAAGGCAGCCAAGACCTTAGCTTTCAGGACAGGTTAGGATCAGAGGCCATTGAATACAGACATGACTCTAACAGAATCACCATGGGTACCAGATAACATAGGAATCTAGCTTTGAATTGTGTAACATGACCTGTTTGGGGATCATATTACAGAAACATCCTAACTCAGAATCTTATCTGTCTACTCACCATAACCATTTCGTTTACAGTCTCATTTAAACCCTTGTCAGTCAACCCAAGTCGCTATCAAATTCTAAATGGGCTATTCTTTTTTAAAAAAAAAAGAGTATTACTGTTTATGATTTATCTATGCACATCATTTTTAAATGCATGTGCCCCTCATTGTTTGCAACCTAGTACTCGCATAAGATCTCAGCAATAGCAAACAACGATCCAGTCAATTCCCAATCAAGTCCCAACATCAAGGACAAAATCAATACCCGCCCCACATTTGTTCTTGTTTGAGAAGCCGTTTTGCTTCGATATACGCCACAATAGTGAAGAAAAGATGATCGCAACTTTATGCCAATTTTAAGAGGATGTTTCATGAATACAACCCCCATGAGTACTCTTTTATTGTTTTAAGAGTGCATGACTCTTCTTCAGTATGTCTGTACCAAAAGCTGATCCAGATGCTATAGGTATCTCAGCCATTCAGTTAGATATTGTGTAAATTCCTTAAACATTTAGAACTTTGAACTTGGTGTGTGTAATCCTCTTTGCCTGCTGCAGCACAGATGTCGTCTGACTTAGCAGATCCCCCCATTCACCCACTGTCCACCTCATTTAGCGTGTTAGCCTGCCTTAAGGATCACCGCTTGACTCCTTTATGCCATTATAATGCTCTTTTAGAGATGATTTTAATCATAGAGCTTTATGTTGCTATGGGCACTCTCTACATCTGTTTACTTTGGGCTTGTAAATAAAGTAGAGTGGATTACCTAATATGAAAATGTAGTTATCCTTGCACTTCCTAATCAGTGTAAATTGGTAGTAGTGAACGGGTTAGCATCAGATGTCTCTTACTGATTATTTTAACGTAGTGTGAGTTTGTTAAAGCTGCCAAAGCCTGCAGCTTTGAACTGAGTCCAAGTCTAATTGATTCAATTACTATCTTAAATCTGTGGTGTGCTGTCTGGCTTGTGACTCAGCAAGAGGACTGGACACCTGAAGGCTTGTGTATTCTATTAGAAATGTTCGGTTTTGCTACAGTATGTCAGAGTGTTGAAGCAGACAGCATCTGTGTTTAAATTTGTTTTAATGGAAAAACCAATTGTGAACTTCATGCTTATAGTTGTCTATGCATATTAAGCTGGGATGAGAAGAGGTTGTTTTTACGGGAAAAATATGAAACGCTAGGGGTGTAACAATGCACTCATGTCATGATTTGGTTCGATTCATGATACTGATCTCACAATAAGATACTCCATGAGACTTTAAACAAATATTTAGGGTTGTCAAACGATTAATCGCGATTAATCACATCAAAAATAAAAATTTGTGTTTATATAATATACTGTATGTGGGTCCACTGTGTATAATTATTTTATATATGTAAATACACACACATGCTTGTATATATTTAAGAAATATTTTCATGTATATAGTGTATAGAGTTATAATTTATATTATATATAAATATACATCTTTTATATATAAATAATATTTTTGTTCTTAAATATACATGCATGTGTGTGTATTTATATATATATAAAATAATTATACACCGTGGACCTGTCACAGTCCTTCGTCTGCACCAGTCTGTCTTCGTCATCTGCACTACACTTCCCAGGATCCCTTTGTCTCCTCTCCTGAACTCACTTCCTCATCAGCCACCTGTTCCTCGTTTTTGATCATCTGTTTCACCTGTTTTCACTCCATTATGTTTGATTCATCTGTGTATTTAGTTCCCTCAGTTTCATTCAGTCTTTGTCGGTCGTTGTCTAATGTGAGCTGTGTTGCACCCGTGTTCCTGTCTTCCTGCCTGTTTATTATATTAAAAGCTATCTTTATGGTTACTCTGGAGTCCTCCGGTTCCTCAGCCAGCACCAGACCGTGACAGGACCCACATATATTATGTAAACACAAACTTTTATTTTGGATGTGATTCATCGCGATTAATCGTTTGACAGCCCTACAAATAATAGAGTTAAAATGGTAAGTTTTTAAAAACTATTTTTTTTTTATTAACAAAGATAATCTTTGTTAAAACCTTGCACAGGGCTGTGGTGACACCATATGATTATGTTTAGCTGAAAATACAGAAGTAAATTGGACATGCATGCTTGCTCTATGTCCCTGACAACTTGTATTTAGTTGTAAATATAACTCAATTAACTTAAATATGCTCATTTCTGGGTTCACCATATTTGATAACTATATTTGATGGTAAATTCAATTTATATACACAATTGTCTTGCATGATTGATGGGTCAGTATATGATCAATAATTTTAATAAATCGGGATTGGATATTTCATATTTAAATGTGCATGCACATTGGGCGTCTAATTACTAATTTGAAACAAATATTTATAAAACACTAATAATATAATAACACTGTTAGTAATCTAATCTTTAGCACTTCTCAAAGTTAACCCGTTTTTCATTCTGTGCATTATACTGTTGTGATGTTTAAGTTCACTTCTTAAAGCATTTAAAAGTATTAATTTTTGTTGGTATATTGGCTAATATAACATTTTAATGGTTGTATGTATGGTATTGGTGTATATGTCTAATTTTCTGTTGATTTCTAAAGAAAGAGCATCGGAGTTTCTTATGTTCCTGCCGCTCAGTGGCCGTGTGTGTGTGTGTGTGGTTGAGGTTTTCTCTCTGTCCCTCAGTTTATGTTTAATTCATACCATCTCAATCATTGATGAGGAGTTCATAGATGAGGTCTGCTCAAGAATGATCAGATGGTACCTGGAGACCATTTAGCCTTAAATTCTAGCCGCAAGTAACATTGGCTAAGTGCTCGACACACCTGATATGAAGCAAAAGGGCCTTCATCCTTGTGCACAACAAGGCTCCTAGGCCACAAATGGTGGAGCATGACTAAAATTATGGGCAAGTGTTGCTCAAGACAGTAAGAAAACAATGTAAATGAACAGCAGAAGGAAGGAAAATGTGAATATTTTTCCTTTCTCAAACACAACAAAATCATTTGTGAAGGGTCTAAAGTTAGCCAGCATAGTTTGCCATGTGTTGGTGAGTTTTACAGCCTTCTCCTTTCCTGACCAGTGGACTTGTGACTTACGCTCATCTTTTCCTGTCTTATCCGTTCCAAGGCGTGAAGCTTCTTGGCCTCCCACATATTCAGTCTATACCTGTCATGTCCTCCTCCGTTTTTCCTGTTTTTCACCCCACACCTTTTTTGGCAACCCACACTCACACATGCATTTGAGTCCTAAAGTCTGAGACCACACTAAAAATGTGATTTAAACCTAAAAATTGAGAATTTTGAAGAATTTAAAATGTTACGACATAATGTGAATAATAAATCTTTAAAATTCTGCACTTTTGCATAGAACAGAGGTATTCAATTATAGCTCCAAGAGGTCCAACCTCCACATTTCCATCACAGCAGAGGTCCAGGCAAAACTTTGGAATAGTTGGGAATAGTCCATATGGACAACAGTAGTACATTGTAGAAGTAAAAAGTCCTAAATAGTCATAATTGTCATGAAGGATAATGATATTGGGGCCAAAGCAGAGGTATCTCAAACAAAATATAAATTGATATGTATTTGGAGATAAAATGGTGCAATGTTATAATGCACTGTCATTATGTCTTCTCGGCTTGTGCGGAACCAATAACTGTCTGCTATTAGGTGACCCCTGGTTTAGACATTTATCACTAACCAAATAAGCTATTTTGTGAAAAAAAAGTCTATAACGTTGCAAAGAAAATTTCTATTAGTGGCCTTTGAATTTTGGACCAAATAGTATTTTACTTTAACAGATGGCAATTTGTCAGATAGTTAAACAAGTAAACATATTCTCAATATTGAAAAAAATTCAGGGTTTAAATCATCTCTGAGCAGAAAATCGTCGGATCTGCTATGAATTTCATAACCAGAATTTTGCATTGCCGTCATACATC